TGGCTATAAAAACATCATAACTCTACTCATAAAATGAGATACTATTTTAGTGCTATTAGTGCAGTAATAACCACCATATGACTCAAGAGTATTGGAATAAACACACTGAAAAGAAATATGGCACAAAAATATGCTCTGAATGCAAAAGATGCTCAGAGAACACCAATCAACCACAACAATCAGCAAGCACACTCTGGCTTTCTCTAACAGCACATCAGCTCATCTGAGTGACAGGGGTTTGTACTGACTAGAAAATACAACATTAAATTGCTTTAATTCAAAGGCCCAAGAAAGAACTGACACATTCTCATATCTGCTAACCCACCCTTGTTATAAGCAAAGCCCACATTAGGGAATACTTACCAAAAACTGATTTTGTTAGCCTAGATGACATTATAGAAGCTTTAGACAAGATGTATTATATGAACCTGTAATGTGTCTGACATGACTCTATCCCCAGTGCTTTCCAATAAACATACTTTAAAAAAAAAGAGAAAACACACTCCAAGATCAATGAAAAGCTAAAGCCCATATCATTTCTTCATTTTAAGTAAATAATCTTCTCAGTTGGACAGTGTATTTGGAAAGCAAATGTTTTGGAAAGCAAGTTTACAAAAATCTTATTCCTATCAGTGCAGTTTCAAAAGCAGCCAAGGCCTTGGCGCATTCTGCGGAGGGGGTTAAAAAAAACCCCAACAAAATGCAAGCATATTCCTGCTCCCAGACTTGGTGTCTGATTCCTCACATTGCACCAGCCTCTGCCAAACCTTCTAAAAGCTGTGAAAGAAAGGGGCAGGGATAAAACAAGACAGCACAGAATCACATCACTATTGGAACACCTTGCAGAACATCCTGTTTCTGCTGGAATCCAATTGTAACCACAGACTTCAAACTTCCAAAAAGAATATTTATGGTAGCACACATCAGCCTGCAGCCTTAATAAAGCCTTGGACAAAATGCCTGAAATTTGGAGCTGCCACAACAGCTTTGGTAGCACAATTCTGTCAGACCACCCTGCTGGGAGTTCACATGTGGGGATGCCAAAATGGAAAAGCTATTGGGATTGTGCTACAAAAGGGAGACAAACAAGCAGCATCCCATCCACACTGTCCAGAATCCCAAAACTATGCCAAAACCACATTTCCATTTTATCTCAGAGAAAATTAGAACATTTTTCACTCCAAAAAACAGCCCAGAGGGGAAATAACACGGATACAGTATGGCTAATCAGAAATACTGGTTTGCTAAGTTAATTGAGAGAACAGACTCATTTTGGATGGCAATTGCTCAGAGGGGCCTCTACTTCAAGGGAGTCTCTCCCCTTAGAATGAAAACCAGATGCTAAATTCATTATTCATATTCCAAACACTACTTGCAACACTCATTTTCTAATAAACAAGCATGCAATTCTCTATTGTGCATTCACCACCAGAAAATCTTCTATCTGTTGAAGAGATTGAGATATATGCAATATTTCAGGTTCTTTATGATCCTTCTTTAAGCATGTTAACATTTAATATGCCCTAATTAGTTTCCCTTTCAAAATTACATTCCTGATTTCCAAATTATAGGCTAACATGTTTCTTTGACTGATAGGTTATATTATTTCATTTTTTTGCCTGCTTGGACAAGCTATAAAAGTATTTTTCCTGAGGAAAGGCAGGAATACTTTTTTTTCCCACTTTCTCCAAGAAGGTGAAAATTTTTTATTTATCTTCAGCATAACTTTTTGTTACTAAAGGAAGGAAATGCTCCCTGAAGCCCACCACTTTGTGCTTTTCAATTTAATGACACAAACATCTTCTGAAGTAGAGAAGCATAAACTCATTAGCAGCATTTCAGTTCTCTCTGCTGCAGAAGCCTGGAGGAAAGAAACCTTAATACAGAATATCTGATTCTAGCACTGAAATTTACATCTTAAACCAAATTATAACATCTAATTTTATGCAATCTTTATATCTCAAGTTAGTATTTCTCTCTTTTCATTCTGAAAGGGGCTTGGTCTTAATTGGGTTTATGCTTTTCCATTTGTGTCAACTTATTTCTGCTTTAAAACATGGGAGACTGAATAGAGATATTTCCAGGTGGGTTTGGAGAACATAAACAAGCTTTTATGAATGTCATAAATATATATAAGAGAAAAGTTATCTATGAGTAATATAATCAAAAAGCACCCTAATGTAGACAAGACTAATACATTTATACAAAAACAATTTGGAAATAACACATTCAAATAATAAACCTAATTAAATTCCCCTAACAGTCATAAGCAATCCATCATAGAGAAAAAAAACCCAACAAACTAGCACATGGATACATTAGAAAATAATTTGTAGGGTTTACAATTACTTTTAGGTTTCAGATACTCAAGTTTTCCAAAAGTAGCAAATAGACATCTACAATGCAATAACAGGAGACTGCAAGATCAAATGCAATAATACATGTTATTGTTTAGCAAAAATACATTAACAGTTATTTGTGAAAAACACATGATTTATACAGCACCCATTTTGTACAGGAAGAAACCAAATGAGAAGAAATGAAGTGTAAAGTTAAACTAAAATAGATGAACACATGGAGAGCCACTGAAGTAAAGTGCTGCTAAGAAACCCCCTCTAAGTTGTTACAACACAAAAGTCATAAAAATTCATGTGAATAAACTTATCTATTGAGAAAAACCCACAGAAAGCCAAAAATATACCTCATCCATATATCAAATGTGGAACTGTCTGAAAGAAGATGACAGAGTTTATCTAAAAAAGAAATTCTGCTCTGTATCCAATGTCTAGTCATTTCCCCTCAAACCTACAAGTAAATCCCTCTTGGACTCCATTAAATGGCTTAAAGGGCAGAGGACAGATAGATCCATCCTCTTTACAAAACAAAAGAAAGATCAAGAAATCTTTGTTAGGAGTCCAATCTCTCAGAAGCACTGCAGAATATGGGATGTTTTTCCATTTGAATTTTCAAAGAATGTGATTCACACTTATCTTTTGCTTTAATCACTTATTAAAGCATTTTAAAACAGTTAAAAATAAATTGCCTCAGCAAAAAATTCAGCTAAAATTTGACATAATATCATAGTAACCATAAAAATATCTCCAATATTTATGATTTCTGGCAAGAACCTTACCAATCTTTTAACACTTAGCAAAGTGACTGGGCACTGCAGTATTTCTTTCCATATCAATAAATTATTCAGAAACAGATGGTATAAGTTCCATAAACATTTCAAACAAAAAAAGCCATGCCAATGTTTTTCCTTAGAAGGAAAAGCCAGCCTTAGGCAACCCTGGATGCTAACTTTAGCAGCATTATTTTGAAGAAAAACAACTTTTAAGAAAAATAGATTTCATGTCCTTTTTACTATGATGGGCCTAAGGTCACTTTGTGTTGTATGTGGTTTTTCAAGACAGCTGTTTGTTCAGCTCTGACTTGGAAATGCCTGTGCATCACTCCAGAGAATTCAGCAAACTGTGACCTTCATGATCATCTCTTCCTCTCACTTTTTCCCATCTGGGTGCATGAGAAACGAGAGCAGCAGTAACACTTCCCCATTCTGTTGTTAATTCAGAATCCTAAACACTGATTTTTACTCAGCAAAAAGCATAAGCACTTCCTATAAATTGTTTGATGACAAATTGTGTGGAAATATGTACCATGAGGGTAGGAAGATGCAAATGAAACATGAACTGTGAAGACAGGTGAAAGAAAAGCTAAGGAAGTCACCAGTGTGGTGAGGGTGAGAACTCCCCAGGACAGGTTCCTGTCAGAAACCCAAAGTCACCGTTCCAGGCAGGACTTGCCAGGAACCACACCAGCCATCCATGCAAAGTGCTCACAAATTAAGGTTAAATCTGTGCTCCCACAAAGAGCTGTGGAACACCATGGCTTTTCTCCAAGCCTGCAGAAACCTCCTAATCCCATTTGTATCTGTGAAGCTTAAGGTTGGGTCCTGCACAGAGATAAGCAGTACCCAAATCTGTGTGGATAGGAACTGACAACACTTTGGGGCACAAGTTAAAAGGATAACAGCCTCACAGACTCCCTCGAGCCTTTATTGAGACAAGTCCCATCTCTGCTTCTGTCCCCAGTCACCCACAGGGACAGAGGGTAGGTCTTTGGCAGAAAAGGCCATGGTTAAACCAAACAGAAACTTTCCCCAGATGGACAGTCACTACTTTTATTCTGCTCTTCTCTCACCTATGCCTTGAGCCCCTGGAGCTCTGCAGCCCCAGTCTTGTCCCACACTAGGTCCTGCACTCTCATCCATGCAGCCATGGGTTGTGACAAGAGGGGAACACAAAGGCCTTTGACTGACAGCCAGTGGTCAGTGGGTATCATAAACACCAAGAGAAATGGGATCATAGAACACATTCAAGTAAGCCCTTGAAAGGCCACTTTTGGAAAGGAAAAAAAAAAAAAGAAAAACAAAAAGTAACCCAAGCCTGTAGCAGTCCATAAAGTCAAATAAAACACGTTTCAGGCATGTACATGGAGACCATCATAGACAAGAGAGGAAGCACAAAGAGCCCAGGTGTCAGAGCCATATAAGCGAGACTTCCAGAGCACCAGCAGTGCCAGCTGAGCCCTTTGCTGCTATGAGGCCTAAGCCAAATTCCAGAAGAAGAGAGCTTCCTTTCCTCTCTGTAATACCCACTCTCCAGGGCTCACTGATGCTTTACAAGGAGTGCTTAGTGAACACCAGAATTCATGACAAGAAATATCCAAGGTACATGCATGGCTCTTGTACTTCTCTACTACAGGTAACAATGTTAATTCTAATCACAGACACCACAAAATATGCCTAAGAACAGATGTCCTACAGTAAAATCCCCATTTAACAAGCTTTTTCTGTCCACCATTTAGATACAATACAGCACCTGCTAGATTTGCATGAAAACAAACATTTCCTGTATTAAAGATACTACATATTTTGTACAAGTAATATTAATTTTTCATTTCAATTAAAATGCAAATCTTCCAATAACCTCACTTACAGGATGTTTGGCCGAAAGTCTGCCAGTCACAGTTCCTGTTTGATTCCAAGTAGAGGAAATGAATCCCTGTAATCAAGTAAAGTGAAAAACAGAAAAAAATAAAGAATGAAGACATAGAACTATATTTTATTTAATTTAAGTATCAGTAATAAAAATTCACTGCAATCAAAACAAGAAAATACAAAAGAAATACTGTTAAGTTTTCCATGTATAAAAGTTCTTAAGCTGTAAACACTGCAATAATTTCACATCTTTTTAGGATTTTACAAGTTATTTTATATATTTCTACCTTTTTCATGCATGTTCGTAGTCCATCCACATAAGTTGATTTCATCTTATGAACCTAAAATACATAAAATTTAAGATAAATGTTTACTTACAAAAATAAGGGATTTTTCAAATTAAAGCTCCTAATTTCCAAATGCATTCTGCTTGTAGTCTTTTTTTTTTTAAAGACAGCTTTATCCAAGTAAATAATGGATTTATACTCACTGACAGCTTAACCTACTCCTGTAAGTTAGGTAAGTGCTTGGTTGTAATCTAAAGACAGAGCTTTGCAGATATTATTAAATTAATTACTGGAATTTATTATTTTATATCTTATGTCCCCAGGTCAATAAATTACATGAAAACCACACACACAAAAAACCACAAACAAATTTAAAAAAAATCAAAACCAAACACAAACCCACAAACTTTTAACTTTTTTTTTGTTTTTTTAGTTCTTGGAAGCTCATTCATTGACAACCTAATGATTAAGTGTGGGAGCAGACTAACTAGATCATTTAGGATTTTCAGGAGGCTTGTCATCCCAAAATTCCCCATAAACAGTTATGTCTTTCACTTTATGCAAAGCATTTCTTCAGAACTCAAACAATAGACATTTTGCCCTAAGTATGTTTTATAGCACTACACAAATTTAACAGTCAAGTTTTCCAATTGTCTTTGCAACGTTGTACAAGTTGTTTGCTAGCTATAATCTAACATGGAGCAAGCAACTATAACCATTAAAATTTAAAATTCTTAAGAATACTGACTTCAAATTAGTATTTGAATGAAGTTTCACTAGAGCCAACATATTTATTTAACTATGAATTTGGTATCTGTCTTGCCAAATTTTGCTTCAATGCAACTACCTTCTGTGAAAAAAATATCAGCTCACCTGGCGGTATTCTAAAATTATCTTAGGCAAGGGATGAAGATCTTGCAATTTATTTAGCTGCAAAGTCAAGAATGAAAATTACTGACATATTTTTCTTTAGGTTATATTATTAAACAAACTTTAACAGAATCCATTTTGGAGGAAGAAATCTTCTTGACAAGCTGAATGGACAAAACACTGGCTGAAGGATGATGCCCTTCAAGCAATCCCAGCCCAGGCCCAAGGAAGCTTTCATTAGGAAGGATGGAGGTTATTCCTTCCCATTTCATTGTCATTCCTGTCCCAGACACAAAAAGACACATAGACCTAAAAACTTTTCCACAGCAACTTTGAAAACACTGGGGTGTGATGTGTGTGTATTATTTATGGCCCTTTGTTTGTTTTTTGTGCTATACAGCACCAATGCAAGAAAGAACATGATGGAAGTAGACAAAATAATACATATATACACATGTACATATTTATATACACACAATCCAAGAGGAGAATTTCTCCTGTTCATGCCGTAATAAAAGTTCCAGGAAAGTTCAAGAGAAATTCAAACTGTCAAATTAAAAACCAATAAAATAAGGCATATTCCTTATTACTTTGATTGGAAATGGCCAAAAATTCTGTTGAGAAAAAGAATTAAATTATTATTAAATTGAGATTGGATATTTATAAGTACAACAAAAAAACTTCTGGAACTACAATTGCCCAGGATGAAAAACAGATGTAACTGTACTAAAAAATATATTTAAAATATAAGGTTTTTTCTTGCTATGAGGGAGAAACTAATATCTTCAGATTTATTGTCTACTATTTATCTCCTGCAGTTTCATCCTACCTTTCTCCAAATAACCAAATCTCAGCAGTTTTGGAAAGAGAATACTGGACTACATAAAAGCGTTGCTTTGATTATAGCTACAAATCCTATGTTCCCACAAAGAGGTGACATGAATTCTATTTTGCTGATGCCTCCCACTTCCCAAGGCTCTCTGTCACCCTCCAAGATTACATGTCTGATCTATGAAACCTCCTTCTCCTTGAGTACTGTGTGGGTTTTATGGTTATACTGTTGAGGTTACTGGAGATCATATTTGGTAGTTCAGACACTTGACTGAAAAGTGGAATTTCCTTCTTAAGAAATATATTAAGAATAAATATTACCCTTCTACCTTCCCCAAAGATGATCATGTTCAGTAATGAGTTGTGCACTTTACTGTAATTCCTATATAAACTAGAGCAATTCAATCGTGGCACCAAATCAGAAACAGGTGCAGCTGCACAGAGGCTTTTTCTCTTCTGAGAAGACTCTCCATTGCTATTATTATCTTCACAAAATGATTTTTTAATGATCTGACAACAGGATCAAAGCACCCTCAGTCAGTTTGCAGATGACACCAAATTGGGTGGAAGAGTTGATCTGCTGGAGGGCAGGAAGGCTCAGCAGAGGGATCTGGACAGGCTGGATCAGTGGGCCCAAGGCTCTGAGGTTCAACAAGGCCAAGTGCTGGGTCCTGCCCCTGGGTCACAGCAACCCCTGCAGTGCCACAGGCTGGGGCAGAGGGCCTGGAAAGGGCTCCATGGAAAAGGACCTGGGGGTGCTGGGTGAGAGTGGCTGAACATGAGCCAGGTGTGCCCAGGTGGCCAAGAAGGCCAATGGCAGCTGGCCTGGATCAGCAGTGCTGTGGCCAGCAGGAGCAGGGCAGTGACTGTCACCCTGTACTCAGCAGTGAGTATTGTGCTCTGTTTTGGACCCTTCATTTCAAAAAGGACATTTAAGTGCTGGAGCAAGTCCAGAGAAGCACAGCTGAGCTGGAAAAGGGTCTGGAGCACAAGTCTGATAAGGAACAACTGAAGGAGCTGGGGATGTTTAGCCTGGAGAAAAGGAGGCTCAGGTGAGACCTTCAGTAGCTGGTTTGTTTTTCCCCACCATGCAGTGCAAGTCTCTTTTCTGGCACAATAACTGTAGCACAAATAGTACAATACAAAAATAAAGCACAATCATTAGAAAAAATCTAGAAAAATCACGATTTCACAGGAATATAACTTAAAAGTTTTGCTAAATCATACAGCTGATTTTAAAACCCTCCCCTGTCTCACCACAACTTCTGAGGTGGATACAAGCTGTTGTATTTCAGTTCTGTGAAGTTTCTCACACAGCGTATGCAGCTTTAACTTATCAAATAGTACCTAAGGTAAGAAAAAGACAATAAATCTTTCAGTGTTTCAAGTGTTGAAATAGAAAGGAAAATTATTGGGTGCTTGAACTTAAACAGAAAACAGGTTGCAAGGTAAATAGAGCATACTGTAGCAAAGAGAACCAACACAGAATTGAAAATCTTTATTTTTGAGCTATTGAAGCACTGACACTACTAAAAAAAAAAAAGCATAATTTATGTACATACATTCAAACACGGATTATTCAACATTGCCATATTTATCAAAAAACTGATATGTCCTTCATTAAAACCAGAAAATAATTAATATAGAATAAGTCAGAAGTGGTAAGGATATATATGCTTTACAGTTCTCCTGTATCAATAAATCTCTAGAACATACACCTTAAGTAGAAATAGCAGAACAAATGATACCTCTCGGAGCTGACAGCTGCTGGTCAGAAGGAATCGTTCTCCAGCAGCCTCATGAGCTTCCTGTTCAAGCTCTTTGAGCCGCAGCTATAAATTACAACAGCAAAATTATTCTGCTTGCACTATTATTTTCTTCAATATCTGCTGCTTCCAAGGTTAATGAGAATATTGGACCTTTATTTAAAAATGGAGTACTTGATATTGTGTAATCATTGCTGGCTATCAACATTTGGTTGAGTAGATTGCTTATACACTCCTTAATTTATATTGCTTTGTGATCAGGGAAGGGGATTTATTGTAGTAAGAAGTACCAACATTTGTGGTTAAAGAATTCAGGTTACTGAAGCCTATAGAGATCTGTGAGAAACACAGCTATACAAATTATTCCGATAAATTAGTCATCTGTCAGACCAGTATGATTATCTAGTCAAATTTTATGTTCCAAAATAGGATCCTCTTGCAGCTATTTTTATCAAAGAACACTCATTTAAAGAGTGTATTGTTCATCAAAAGAGGAAGAGGAGTCTATCACTTCTCAGGAGGATGGGTACTGAAAACCGTAGGTTCAGAAAGAGTCATTGTCATTTTTACTCTACAACACATAACCCAAGAGGACCTGTGCATTTTGCAATGCAATTTCAGTTCTGGGGTAAGGCTGATGACTCAAATGTGTCTTTTACTTGTGCAAATAAATAGGGAAGTATCCTAAAATGTAAATATAATCCTTTATAATGATATACTAAAAACATCACACTGTTACATAAAAAGTGACAAAAGTTCCTTCTCTTTTTAATCAGTTATTCTCAGTAAAAGCACAAAGATGATGCTATATAATTTTCAAGAAAAAAAATTAATACAAAATTTACCCCTAGAATCTCTGATGTTTTTTTCAGTTCTTGTTTGTTCACATATATTTTGTGTGTTTCCATCACTGTAAATACAATTTTAGGTTAAGAACATTTATAATTCACAATTTCAATCTTATATTTTTCTTAGACTATAAAATGGAAACTCAATCTCACACAGCTGTTACGAGGCTAAGATAACATTTCATATTCAGAGGAATTACATTCCACTTGAGCATAGTCAGCAGCTGTGTGAAAATAGTGAAGATTCATATTTTGAACTGAACTTTTCATACCTGCCAGAATTTTGATAAGTGGAAGCTCTAATGTGCAAAATAAGTTCCACAAACCTTGAGCCTGTAAAGTAAGTTATAAATACATTTTTCAGTATTTCCCAGTGAGCAGTATTTCACTTTTTACATGACAACACGTGTCAGTGGCATGAAATACTACTTAGTGTAAATTATAGTTTCTAAATGCTGTCACTTCTCTTTATGTGGAATAGGAATTTTGCAGTAGTAACTATTTTGTATAAGAATGCTAGTAAAGAAATACATATACATTTTTTTCCTAAACAGTTTATTTTTAAAGCAAGCTTCATGATAATAGGACACACAGTTACCCTTTTTCTTTTGTTCACTTGAACGATTAGGCAACCATTCATAATTCATAATTTTGTTTTCATTAGGGAGAAAATAAGAGTTGAAAGGGTCATGTCCCCAAACTACTTACAGAGAACAGAAAGTCTGATGTTTTTCTAATCACTGAAGCAACCTGACTTGTCTAAAACCTCTTGTGGGCTCAGCTTCAGTGTTCCTGGGCCTTTGGTGTTTCCCTGCTGCCTCCCTTCATGGACTGCTCACCACACTGCTGATACCCACATTAACATGGCTCCATCTCCTCGTGGTCTGAGCCCTACACCTGCTACCAGTAACCCCAAAAATAATCCCTGGGAAATTGTGATGCCTCTTCTACCAGAACCTGGGTGTATCCCTAAATTCTATCCCTGGATTCTATACCTGGAAATCTACTTTGCACACACCCCAACAGATTTCTTGAGAAGCATTCTGGACTGCAATAAGGGGTAAAATAGAATAAAATAGTTCACTTGGAAGGGACCTACAATGACTATCTAGTCACATTGCCTGGTCAATTTAGGGCTGACTGAAATTTAAAGTACATGATAAGGGCACTGTCCAATTGCCTCTCAAACACTGACAGGCTGGGCCATCAGCCACCTCCCTGGGCAGCCTGTCCCAGCATGTGACCAGTGCTTGGTTAACACAACCTAGAACAAAAGATATGCTGAGAGTTTTCATAAGCAAGGAATACATAGAAAAAAATAGCTAAACGTTCTGCCTCTTTTAACACTTTTTAGACAGTAATATATAGATATCAAATACTAAAAGAAAACTCAATATTCTGAACCTTTCCTGCTCTCAGAATCTTCATTTAGTTAAATGTAGCAGAGGAAAAGTTTCTCCTAAAGATTAACCTTGACACCATCTTCTTCTAGAAAAAATGGCAAATTTGATGGGCAATTTATTTTAAATGTTGACTGCCAATGTAAACCACTAAGGACTTAAGCATTCTATTATTCTAATTTGAATGAGAAATACATCATTAACTCTCTTTAATTCAATACTTACATAGTTATTCCTGAGCAAATTCTTTTTTTCTTACCTTTAAGCCATGAGCAAGGTCCATCATTACATTATAGAGTTTCTCCAAGTTCACACCTAAGTTTTGATACTGATATAAATAAATAAAAACAAATCAATAACTTTATTGCTAACAATACTCTAAATATTTTAGCAATATATCTTTTCAAAAGGTATAAATTGTGAAAACACACTTTTCTGTCTACCTTCTGTTAACATTTCAGAAACATTGTTAGATCTCTGTCAAACCCAAATCACAGCCCTAGACTATGAACACAGCACTAGATTATGAACATTCCAGATTTTGCCTGTTCCTGTATTTACATTTTGCATCAAGTACAGAGAAATATAATATTGATAAACTGCCTTTGACACTGAAGTCAGAGTTCCCTTACTACTTTTAAAATGAGGAAAAATTCCTTTCATTCTTTTTCTCATATAAGTACTGCCACTCTTGTGCCAGAACTGTTCATTTCCTTCCTTTCTGTTCCAGAGGTGTTCCACACAACACCAGGTCACCTCCTTCAATTGGCTAGAGTACCATTTGAAATGTATACAAATACTGAGAAAGATTGTTAGCTGCAGTAACATGACCATTAAAAATAAACTTAATAAAGACTGAGAAACAACAGGCCTGGAGGGTAAGATGCAGGGGCTCTCTTCAAAACTGAGATATGCAGATCCACTGGTGATGATCCTTGCTCTAAAACAGTCTAGTCCATACTGCAGTGAAAAGTCACCATTTTGTCTCCAAGAAACCTTGTCCATACCAACTTGTTCTGGAACAAACGAGCTGTCTGTGAAATACAGACAGCTTGCTTGATCCCTTCCTGGAGGTGGAAGAGAGGCCAGTGACAGGCTTCAACTGACACCAAAATTCCCCAGCAGTAAATGCAGCGATGACAAGACCAGCAGAATGTTTAGCACCTGTTCCAGCAAATGTTTCAGGGAGTGTGGACCATGAGCACTTTGGCACAGCACCAAATACACAGACAAGCAGCAAGCAGCACATCCTTGTGCTAGAGGTGTGTGGGTGAGCTGTGGGCTACAGAATAAACCAGCAGTCATTCCAAGTGCTGTGGTGGGTGGACAAGACTAGCACAAGACAGGGAGCTCCACTGAAGCAGTGAGGCACAAGATGATTTATCACTTACCACAGATCCCTCTGGCAGTATAGACAACTGTTGGGAATCTACCAGTAAAAACAGAGCAAGAAGATTGAAGAGATAAACCTGGCAAAGAACCAGGAGACACAGGAAGAACTGGAACTCACTGAGCAAAGAGAGAGAAGCCAAAAAGGAAGTGTGAGAGTGCAGGTGACAAATTAAGGAATAAGGAATGGCGGGGGGGGAATAGTCACAGGATGTCACAAGGAGACATTAACTGGGAATTGAGAGAACAAGTCACTGGAGATGGCTGTGGCAAGGAAACAAACTAGACCTGAAGTAGGACAGGAAGGAAATAAAATTTCAATATTTAACTCAGAGCTGGAAATCAGGATAACAAAGTTGAAAAATAACTAACAACAGATGGGACATCTGAAGAACAAAAGACTGAGTCAAGCTAAGGGAAGAGACAAGATTAAGGGTGCTGACTCACTGCAAGGCCATCACACATAAAAGAACCATAGGTAACTTCTGTCTATTTGCTTGTCTATTCCTACACTAATAACTTAATTCATGAAGTAGCTTCTGAACAACTGCAGTTTACAGCCAATGCTTTCAAGTAAACTGCCTCTGCTTTTCTCAGAAATGTCTACACTGATGGGTAAGTGCCAGTACAACCAACCCCTGCCTATGCTCCAAACCCACTTGGCATCTGCAGATTTGTGTCCTACAAGTCCTACAATCATTGTACAATACTTGGTCTGAATGAGCAAGGCCTCTGAAAAGTGAATGGCAGAAAAAATCCCATTATTTAGGTTCTTCTACATCATCTTATCCTTCAAACAACCTCTGAAAGCTAATGTGTCCACAGTAGATCCCCATAGCCCAAAACAGATACAAATATTTTATAACATTCAGGAAATACATTTCAGTAGAAATACAGAGGACATTTGATACAATACAGGAAGATCTTTCCATAGTGCAAGGAAAAAAAGTTCATCATGCATTCTCTCACACTCAGAATTAAAATTCATACAAATGCCTCAAGGTTCACATTTGACTCCCTGCTGTTTCTCAGCCTATGATGTGGTGTGTACCAGCTGTGAAATTTAGCAAAATTGTTAATAACAATCAACTAAATACAGGCTACAAGTGCACAGGAACTGGAGAACAAACACAGCATTAGATATTTTGGAGAGTTGGAAATCATTTCACAGCAAGGTAAAGAGAAAAAATATAGAACTCTATACTAATTCATGTTGATACTGAACTTTACAGTTTTAAAGAAAAATTTTACAGCTGTTCCTGGAGAATGAGCTCCCATCTTGGTAGATGTAGTAAAACCTCCCCTTCTCCCCCTTCTTTCAATTTCCAACGTCACATTAATAGAATATTCTTTTCCATTATAAAATTTTCCATTATAAAATCTGTCCATTATCTATCTTCTTTTGCAATATTTTCTAAGCTATTATCATTCCCTTCCCTTTTTAACCCAAACAATTGAAAACAAACTACTTACAGATACATTTCTCAAAGTGCCTGTATCTGTATTCTCTGCTCCCTTTGAAAAAGGCTTTTCAAAATACTTCTGTATTAAACACTCAAAGGAAGGAACTGTGTCACTGGGGTTTATCAGCCATGCTGCAATCCTTGGATCTAACACGACACTATTGGCAACTACAAAAACAAGTTATTCAAAATATTTAAAATGCCTCCCATACTGAAAAATAGCTCTAAAGTTTTGCCCATCTTTCCTGCACATACACATCATAAGGACAAGTATTTACTCTACAAAAACATCAAATATTGAATTCACAGCTGTAACACATAGTCAATAACATGACTACACAGGAGGAAGTGTAGTATTGCACATTTTTGAGGAGTGTTGTTTTGTGAGGTTGGGGTGAATTTTTTTGGTTGGTTGATTTTCTCAAGTTTTCAAATATAAGTAAACTTTTGGCTCCTGAGATTTACTGTAAAAACTTTCATTTCTTAGAACTGAAAAACTTCAAGCTGAAGGTTTTTTTATGAGTCTTCCTCTGGTAGTTTTCTTATTGTTGTTGTTAACTTGACTGATATCCACAGAATTGCTGTTGGGGATCAGGGAGAGACTTACTTCCTAGCAAACAGACCAAGACTGTTAATGCATATATGAATTCACATATGGGTGCACAATGCCCTGTTGCCAAAACTCAGAACCTTTTGTTCTTTAGCATCATATGTGCTTACACTGCACCCCCATGCTCACACAGAGGGATAGGATGGGCCAAGCCCAGAGCTGTTTCACTTTCCTTTGAACTACAATCTCAACATGTGTCCTGCACTTCTACAAAGAACAGGAGAAACCAATAACTAGACTGCTTTGTGATATATTCAAAGATAAACCTAAGTATCCTCTTCAGTAACCCCTAACTAAAACAAACCATGACCTACAGGGACATTTATAGAGAACTCCATGCTACACAACCTTGCAGACTCAGTTACCTGGAAGCAAATTTTAATGTCCATAATGCAGTTACAGCTACAGGACTACTCTAAAGAGAATTTTAGGGGTTTTGTTTGTTTTGTTGGAGCTTGTGTGCTTGTTTTTTTCCTAGCAGAAATAATGTGTGAAGAAGCATGAAGTTTCAAAGTTTAAAAGCCTAAACAAGAATTGGTTTGGTTACTAGAAACTTCAGATTCAAATCCCATGGATCAGGTACTCTCAAATACTTCCTGTGTGTACAAGTTATTAACTGTCACTATGGCCAGTCCCATTACAGCATTTCCTTTCCCACCTTTGCCATTCCCAGTGCTGGATTTTGTACAGACCCTCACTGTGATTTACTGAAACTTTTCAGATGCTGAACAAAAGCTGATGATTCTCCATAGAGACAGCCCTTCCTGAAAGGTCACATGTACTTTTGTAACTCACTCAGCAGTAATTTCACAGAATTCACAGAATGACTAGGTTAGAAGAGACCTTAAAGATCATTGAGCCCAACCCACGCCCTAACATCTCAACAATTTGATATATGGAACCAAAAATAAACAAAAAAATCCCCAAAAAAACCAAAACAAAAAAGACATATTTACATCTTATGCTTGTTGTTAGCAATTGCTTTTAAATCCACAGAAAAGAGTCTTACTTGTTTCTATCAAAAGAACATGGGGCCATTTAAGTGATTCCTAATTCTGACAACTATGAGCATCTCTGGGATTTATTTTAGCCCTTCCTTTTAGCAGAAGAAGTTTTTTCCTAGGAAATATGAAACATGAAGTACTTTGACCTTTTCAGCTATAGTCAGGACTGTGTTGAGAGCTTTTGTTTCCACTGGAAGCTATCCTTAAGTCAATGATTTAATTCCTACTCTGAGAAGAATCCATGAGGCTTGACATGCCAAGGTCACAACCTCCTCCAAGAAAGGTGTTCTTTTGTATCATACTAAGCTCTGTTTTTCAATATATAACTTAATTTAGTAAGTAATATATTATTTAGTAAATTCAGTTATTTCTACACTCAGTGATTTTAACAGAAACACCAATAGCACAGAGATGACAGGATGAGATCATAGATTCAATACTTGCCTTGTTTCCAGCTGATTTCATTACCATAAATTTGAAGTAGAGTCCTCAGGAAATCTTTTGCATTGAAGCAAATTATTGGAACTTTGCACTGCAGCATTTGGAACAACACTTCCCTGCACAGAAGCAGTTCATTAACACACACTATACTGCTCCTAGATTTAGTCAATCTATTTACTTTGTTTTTTTAATTAGCTCCTAATACTAAACAGTTAACCCAAGACATTTCCTTATTCCTGTAAGAACAGAATACTGCATTTGAATATTAAATTCTCAATTCAGTAACCCTCAAAGCCATGCTCTATAAGAAATTAAAACATCCTAGCAGATATGCTTTATCACATGTACATAAAGAAAACAAATCCTTGTTCAACTCTTGAGGTGCAACCTTAATCCAAAACACCAACTGGCATCCCTGTAGTGCTCCAATATACCCAAATAAGATCACAGAGGATAAACTGACATAGCATTATAAAACACTGATTTTAAAGTTACTAAACTATTTAAATTGCCAAAACTGCCCTGTGTTAATATGCTGTTTAAATCCAAAATGTTTCATCTTTGTAAAGTATTTCCATACCTCTTGAAAATGTCGATAATGCCCTCATTCATGATCTTTTAAATAGATATTACCAACTACATATATATTAGTATATAGATTTACCAACTATGTGTGTCATTTTTTTTAGTAAGTTATATTTTGGGCAATATAGAAAACTAATAGTTTTTATAAAGCATTTTTAATGGTATGAGACCACAGCTCCAGGGTTTGGACATATTAGAAATCACACAGCTCACAAGGTATTGCTGTATGCATTATAGATCCATTTTTAAACAATTGCACAATTCTTACAATAAATAATTACCCATAGGTTTCATCTAAATACTAATACTCTTAATCAGCTTATCAAATTTTTACTGTTCACATGTACATGCTTTACTGATATGTTATTCTCAGTTCCCAAAAACCTATATTCAAGCTGACAACATGTTATTAAAGTACTTGTCATGTAACCCCAATATTACAGCTGGAGAAGCAAAGCCATGCCTTGTTTCATGCCACAATTTCAAGTAGAACTAGAACTAAGAACCAAGTCCTGCATCTTGAAATTAATGTTTTGTGATTTAATAATCCAAATTCGGCAGTTTACAATAAGACAGCAATTACTGAAAGTCATAAAATATTCTGATGGAGTTTTAACATGCTAGAGTATTACACCTAGGAATCAGATTCAGTTCTCATTTTTGCCTTTTTGGGTTATGATTTTCAAGTTAATAGGAATAAAAATGGACTTCAGTTATAATAACTGGAAGTTTAAAACATGGTCCAGCTTTTTATTAAAATTTAGTATAAGTATTAAGCAGATACATAAAGCCTTTACTTCCAAAATTATATTGTATTATTACTGAATATTAGTAAAACTTCATCTGGAATGTCAAAAGCCATTAAAAAAATTGTGCTAAAAAGATTGAAAGTATTAACAAAGCTCAGAAAGGGTGTTTATCACAATAATGTCCATCAAAAATGTAGTAGTTAAGAAATGCAGTTCAGGAAATGGAAGATAAAATACAAGAAAGATAAACCTGGACAAAACATATTCTTTGGTGCTGTCCAGCTTTAACAGTTCATCAAGGATTTGCAGGTGAATGTAAACAGTTCCTCCCAGGATCCCAACCTAGTTCTGAAAAGGCTGCAGTCAGTGATATGCTGAGCCCAAAGGAATTGTTATTTGGTTTCCATTAGCCCAGACTTGATACAGAACTAACACAGCCAAAATGAAATTCAACGAGCTTGACACGGAAAGATCAGGCCTGTGCTAGGTAACCAACATCATTACTGCTCAAAGCATAAGTAAAACAAGAGTATTTTTTCCTTCATGCTCTCACCAAGAAAATTTCTTGTGAGCTGGTTCTCGTTCCCAGAGAGATGACTGTTCAGTTTTTAAATAAATTAATTCATCATTTTCATTTGCAGCATTCCAAGAACAGCCAGTTGAAGTGTGACCTGGAGGACAAGGCTGATCAGTCTGATTCTTCACCAGCACAACAACTCCTCTGACTGATGAGGTAGAGGCCTGTTAAGCATAATTACAATAGTGTTTCCTCTGACAGATTTTGTGCAATCCTATAAAGAAAAATTCCCAAGTATTTTACAATAGGAAACCTATTATGTACACTACAGTTACTGCATACACCATTGACACAGTAGAGGAGCATGCAAGTGTTTCAGCCTTGAAACAAAAATCCTAGTGGTTTCATTTTCTCTAAGTTTTACTTGTTAGTTGAAAGTAAAATGTAATGTAAAATGTAATTTTTGGTATGTCATACACAAAAGTGTTGCCAATGAGCATGGGTTTGTGATTATCACTCACATGCACATTCAAATGGTTCTACAGAAGTGACTCTAAACAAAACCCATCCTTCACTAACCTGCTCTGAGCTGAGCTGGGAAGAACCATCTTGAAATATCATAGTAGTGATAAAAGCTGCTGCCTGTTCTATAGTGGTAAGGAGTTTGCTTTTTTCTTCACATCCTAAACTGCTGATATCACAAGGATACTTTCCAGAAGACTTTATTTGTCCAGGAGTACAGCTGTATCTTCTTTCATGTAACATGGAGGTATTTACATGCAATTTTCTTGTTTTCTCTGAACAAGATGTAGATACATTTTGCTTTCTTTTAAGAGGAATAACTATTTTGTTTTTCCCATCCTTCAGGGTTTTTTCTTCTACTGAAAGACTCCTTTCTTGATATTCCCATTTTGGGAAGCCTGAATCCTGGTAACAGCTCAATATTTGGGTATCTTGACAGCCAAGTATTTTATCCATATGCACTGTCCTGACCATCTGACCAGCAATTCCTTTTTCAGGGCTGACAGTTGTTTTTAATGTGGCAATTCTGGAATCATAATCCTCCTGGGAAAATCAGAAATTTTTAGCAAACCAACTATTTGATTTACAAGGAGAAATTAAAAACTGCACTCAGTTACTTTAGATAAGCTTTCAAGAAAGCAAAATTCTATGAAAAACTGTTGATACTAACAAAACAGAGCCAGTTTAGGGGAACCACATTACATAAACCAAAATTCAAATATGTATCAGTAGAGATTTTGTTGACATACACCATTTGCATCCACAACCACTTCTTTTTTAACCTACTATTAGTCCAACACTAAAAATGGCAAATTAACAACTGTAAGAGGTATCTAGTCCAGTTAGCCTGTCTTCCATAGTGACAAGGTTATTATTGTCTGAAGAGGGAAGAGACCCTTCATCTTTAGCTTCAGCATTCAGAGCACTTTTCAGGACAGTTTCATTTGTTACAGAACTTTTGGCACAGGACTTTAATGACTGCTTTAGAATCTCAAGTATGTGAATCAGCTGAATCCTTTCAAGCAACTTACAGGATTGCAAGACATAAAAAATACATAAGAAAGTTGCATTGCAGTATTATGAACTGTATGAATAAATATTACATTCTATTCTGTTTAATCCACTATACCCAGAACAGTTTTTCCTACTCCAGATAGTCCCTGGATCCCTCTAAAGCAGCATGCTACTAAACAGCATTCAGCAAGATGCTGCAGGGTAGTGCTGGAATTCTACTCCTCCATCCTTATTTCCTTCAGAAATTTCCTTGCTATGCTACTGGCCCTAGTGCTTTCTTACTATTTATTTTGCTAGTTTCTTCTACAAACTCCTCAGCTGAAATAGATCCTCTGCCTTGATTTTATTTCTCTGGAATGGCAATCACTGACCCTTCCAAGATTCCCCAAGGTAAATGTGTGTTTAACTATTTACAGATGTACAGATTTGCATCTTCCCTCGATCCTTTTTATGCCTCAATCACAAATAGGCCTTAGAAGACCTGGCAAGATTTCTGCTCCAGAGGCATTTGAAAAAATCATGTATTAGTGATGCATTTGCAAGCTTTTCCTCAAAGTTATTTTGAACTATGCCATTGTATATTTCATTTAACTTAGTCAATTCAGGCAACTATAGAATAATACAAATTCTGCTTAGCTCACATTTTTGCATGATGACATTTTCAGTAGTCTCCTTCATACTGCCTCTTAGCCATACTACTTTTTCCAGACACAATTTAGTATTCATTTCAAATCATCAATATTCAACTTTGAATAAATCCCTATACTACCTACAAATGTTCTGGATTTGGAGGGAAATTCCATATAATTACTTTTAAAAGCTTCTTCAATTTTATATAGTTTTCTTGTTGAAAATTAATCATTACTGTCTTACCTATCTTTCAATGTCTCCAAAAGATTATAGTCTCTGTAAGAGCACTTGTCAGCAGGGAAGGTTTTGGACTTGATCTCACACAGAATCAAATAAAAACAAATTTTTCTCATGAGTTCTCTAACTGTTCCACAAAGCAGTTGTCTCCTAATTTTCTGTTGGAGCATCATGCATAAACTTAATATTCATCAACTCCACTGGAAAGTAACTGAAATCTGTCATAATTACTGTATTTTGGTCTCTTCTAGCCCAGCCTCATTCAGCTCATCTGCTGTCATTACCACTGCAAAAACTGAGACCTCCTCCCTTCGAAGAAGCACAAACTCCTCCTGTACAGGGCTCCCTCCAGTCCCCAAGATGACTTTTGTCACTGATCAAAGGCTACTGTCCACCTCCATCCCATCTGAATTGATTGAGCAAGCCAGAATGACAAAGCCAGTAAGTTTGGGGCTTTTTTATGGTTTCACAATATCCCTCAAACCAGTTCCCATATTCCCAAACCTTAGAACTATAGAGTCAAGTGGTGAAAAAGGCTTAAGACTGCTTTAGATCATACTTCACAGGATCTACTCTACAGCAAAAGTACAATTACAAGGTAATTCTAGCACTCTAAGTAAACAGGAAAAGGAAGCTAATTCAGCTTCTGCTACTACCAAAATGAATAGTAGCTGTTCCAAATGAAGACAAATTATTGGATTTTTGCAATGCTAATCAAAAGGTGGGCACTATAAAGTTACCAGAAGGTGAAAAATCCTATCACAGAAGGGCCAAATGTTTAAGAACCATAGAAAGACAACTAATTCACTCAAGTTTATTCTCCAGACAAACTGCAAATAGTTTTATCATTTAACACAGCAGAATTTAAATTAGGACACTCTAGTAATTATAGAACCAGGAATAAGCGATTCTCTTTTAAAGATTCAAAAAATATAAACAAAGGAATTTAATTATCAAGTCAGAATAATACAGCTGGAACTGCAATTAACCACAGAGAGAAACAGCAACTTCTGTGAAGAACTGACCTTCTATTAGAAATAATGACATGGCTGGAAGTAGAGAAAATGACTCCCAGGATGTAGTTTCATAATTTATGTCAATGTAGGAAGATCTCATTAGATGCAGCAAGTCAAAATTAGAGTGTCATCATTACAAAAAGGGGTTCCACTCCTTTCCATGTGCACCCACAGCTGCCTGTGAGCCAGTATAATTTGTAGGAAACTATCTCATTCCACACAAGGCATCAGTTTTCTGCATCCTGAGCAACCTGAATGGAATTGAAGTGTGCAACATGGACCAGAGTCAGAGTAAGGAAGGTTGTGAAATTTGCAGCTGGGATTAGTTGCAGCATCTGCAACTCATCAATCAACTCGATGGATTTTACAAGCAAAGCCTGGGCTGGGGCTGCCACAGTGACCTGCTCCCACTCCTGCACTGGCACTCACCCACATGCACACCAAACCAAATTCAGAGAAATGATTAAACCCAAAATTAAGCTTCCTAATACAAAGTAATTTTTCATACAAATCAGCTCACTTTATGATTGTTCAGTAACAGGAGTCTGAGAACATTTCTAAACTCTGCTGTCTGAATGCAGCAACCTCATTTCTGATCAATCTGTCATAAAAGACCAACTTCTTGTAAAAAGGGAACAGAAGTTGGGCCCAGACTCTCATAGGTAAATATAGGCCAAGTGTAAAATAAGACAGAGGAAGTTACCTGAACTATGACTGTATAAAATGTATCATGATAAAGCTTGTTATGAAAGAACCAATCTGTAACTTCAAACCTGCTACAAAAGACTGCTTTTAGTGGTTTTCAATCTTACAAAATGCTTGCCTTTTCATTTCTCAGATGTGCATCCTTATCACCTAGTTTATTTTCCTTTGTCTTCTCTATACCTTTAAAAAAGAAGAAACAATTCACAATACAAATCAGTCTGCAAGTAGCCCATATATCTTAGGTTTCATACAGGGTTATATTACTGACAGTTATACCAAACCTGAAAGAAGTGTAAAAAAATTTCTCTCGACAACCATTTATCAAGTTAGTATTCATGCTGAAAGGAGCCTTGCAGGTTCCAAAATAGGCATATTTAAAAGACTGTTCTGTCACCAGTAAGAAAAAAAATTATTTAAAATTCACTACAAAGCAGAAAAACCTTTTCCATGGTATTCAAAGGAATACCATAATTATGTGAATTTGCCTCTTTCAAAGAAACACAACTCATTTTGGTCATAGTAAAGCTAGGGGTATGAGCACAAAGGAAAAAAAAAAGAAAAATCCAAACTCTAGAAACTTTATACAGCTTAACAGCTTAACTTTACACAGCTGTTTTCTTGGAATTCAGCAGTATTCCACAAAACTTTTGTTCTATAAAGCATTATTTGTATCTGAGTTTAGCACATCATGCTTTACAAACTGACCATGTTTCACCTGCAGGGGATTTTTTCACATTGCTCATCTTGCAACAGAACAGGCATGACAATGAAACCATTAGGACACGCATTTCTTTTCTGCCTTAACACTGTCCCCAAGTCCCAAGAAGAGGAGAAGCAAGTGAAGCCTGGAAGGCAGGAGCCAGGGGTAACAGCTAGCAGTAATTCTCTCAGTGGGCACAGGAACAGGCACCTCGAGCACAGGTCTCCCCAGAGCTTGCAGTTAGGATTCCTTTATCTCTTGATTCTCTTATTGCCCAGCCAGAAGACACCTCCCAGGCAGAGGATGTGTTTTGTCTCCCCACACTGGGTACAACACCAAACTGCTGCTGTCAGCTATGAACTGGCATTATCAGCAGCAAGATACTTCCTGAAACAACAATGGTGTTAACCAATATCAAAAAAAGCATAAGGTAACCTATTTCAATTTACTAGAACTGTTTTTAAAAAAACAAAGGTCTGGACAATCAAGACCTTTGTCTACTGAAGAAAATAAGCTTATTTATGTATGTTGGTGCTAGTGTATAATCAGACACTGAGCTCCAGCTCAAAATTCTAACCTAAGCTGTTAGAACAACCAAAATGGCACAGCTGTGTTTGTAGCTTCAAACATTTTACCTTTGTTTTCTCAACACTTTCTACAACGAGATAATACATTAAGAATGATAGTATTTGAGTTTACATTCAGTGCTTTTAATTGTTTTACAGCTAGACATTTTCCTTGACAAATCCAACCCCCAGAGAAGATGATGAGCATTACATTTCTCTCTGACAGCACACAACAACCAGTATGACAGGTATTGAAGAGATCTGCAACTTCCAGTTTCTGAATTATGGCAAAGTGTCACCAGATGGCAGCAGAAACCCATCCCTGCCTTCCAACTCCTCAAGGCTTGATGGAAAGATTGGAGCTCCACAGCCAGGATAACCACAGAATTTCACCAATTAGGTCAACATTGCAGATATCTTTTCTATTTGAGCCCAATATTTACCTTCTAAAGACAAACATTTTTTCCATTAAGTAGAATTAAAAATTTCAAAATCTCTCTATAAAATACAGTTCGATGCAGTCTGAAACAGACCACTAACATCAGAGGTTTGCAGTCGTTTTTGGTTTTTTAAGAGAGATAAACTTCTTTTTACAGACCCACACCAAAGCTATATATACATATATAAATATATATATATAGGCAATGACAAGGTAGCAAGAAAAGTAAAATATCAAGCTGAGGCTAAAAAGAGCTAGAATTTTCTTTAAAATCACCTGGGTTTTGGTCCTAGATGTACCATATACAATGCAACATTTTATATTAACTCATCCCACATTTCTTTAAATGTGTATCAGTGATTTACACAGTGATGAACTATTACCTTTGTCACTGCTACATCACCAGGCTCCACTGATCCAATATTTTACTGAAAGAAGAGCCTGAACCACAATTGATATACAACAGTGGCTGCAAAAACCACAATGTACACAGAATAAATGTTAGATTTAAAGCCCATTGATCAGATAATATTCCAGGATCTAGCTGTCAGGAGAAAACAGACAACTGAAAGTAAGCAAAACTCTTAACTTCCTACTTCTTTCCAGAGCCATAATGTGACTGCCTGTGATTTGCACAGAACTGAGAATAAAACCTGCACCTTGCAAAACCTCCTTAGTGCCCACAATACTCTGGAACTGCTGAGGTACTTGTAACATTGCCACATTTGTTCTTTCACTGGGACTTTTGTTCACTCTTCCCCCTAGAATTTCACAAGGAGCACAGTGCTAATGAATATGTGTTTGAAGGACAGACATGAGTCTGGAGAGCTCACAGGTTTCCTGTTAAGTTCCTAGTACCTCCAGTGATCTTTAAATATCTAGTCCAGAGTCAAGTTAACATATGCATCTAATTTACAACATTGTAGTACTTAAGGGACAGTCTGAAATTCCCATATAATTCTGTACGACATAGGAGAAACAGAAAGAGAAAAAATTAAACTGATGGTACCATTCCTTGCACTCACATAACATTATTGAATTGGAAAAGTCCCAGCAAATGTCACAGTCACAGCTTAATTCCTTTTCTAGACCTGTAAACCTGAAGTCTCACCTTTTCTTGTCACCTATTTAAAAACAGGGACTAAAGGTTTGATACTGTTGTGTTTCAACTTTTCAACAGAAAAACACAGGCTAAGTTTTACTCACTCTGGTTATTTTCTCTGTTAGTCTGAGCTTCTACAGGAATAGACTGCAAAGCTGTCATAATCCTCTGAGCAATATTAGATAAAGGCACTTTAGAAATCTCACATCCTATGTACCGCTCCATTTCTAAGGTTAACCTAAACACAGAACACACAAAGTATGAATTAATCAGGGCCATGAGTAATCCTCACTTATATTCTGTTGAAATTGAAGACAAAATATAGTGAACATGTTCAGCCATTCATTCTCAATGGAAAATTACATTTGCTCTCAGACATGCCTATCAGTACTGTATTTGAAATAAAAATATAATAATTTATAAAAACAAACTTCTTTGAAATAGTGCTTTAATACCCCAATTAAAAAATCAGCAGTCCTAAGTACAGTTAACTTGTACTGAAAGAAAATAAAATCTGACAAATAAAACAAGTATGTATGTCTGAGATACTTTCCCCATCCCAGCATCTTTAAAGTAGTCTGTATCTAGCACATGGATACATTTACTGTCACTAGTGCTTGGATTTCATCAGGAAAGACATAGTAAACTTTCCAGTAATTGCCAAAATTAAGCCAACACAAGATTAAAGAAACAAGCAATACTATCACAATATACAGCCATTGGTTATGTGCTATTTCAGAAAATATTTATCATAAAAGACCTCTACTTTTTAAAATTTTGTATAATTGATGCATTCAAATACTTCCATATGTTAGTAACTTTAAAATAGCTACTATGGCTTGTTGATTTAAGGAACTGGTCAGTAACATTTATAGTCCCTACAAGCTTTGACCCCAGTTACTGTTGTTGTAACTGTTATCCTTTTCTGAACAGGAGCTGGTTTTGCAGCTGACCTGTCCATATTCTGTAATACCTACAAATGCTTGGCAGAATCCCTAGGTACACCACACTCTGGAGAATCACAAGTAACAGTGTCCACACTGATGACTTGTTGTTTTACAGTTAGACCAGAAGAACGTGTAAAACTTGTCACAAACACAAGAGAAATATCCAACATTTTAAAAAATACTGCAAGGATCCAAGCTGTACAAATCAATCACTCTAGCAAAACCTGCTGTTGCTCAATTACTCCTATACAAGTGGGGAGCTGGAGTGCTGTTACTCTGATCTTCTCCCACTGGACCCAGTGCATGAACAGACTGTCAAACTTAACCATCAGCAAACAACAGTCCCTCTGCCTACACGGAAATATTTTTCTTGGCTCAAGACCACAGGTACCTTGCAACTTTTAATACTTAAAAGTGCAAATATTTGCATCTAATTCAGAGGAACACCCATCACTCTGCATGAGCACTGGCTATGTCCATCTAGTTCTAATTAGAAGCATGTGAAGGAAAGAGTGAGAGGTGCAATGGCTTTGTTTTCCCTGACATTCCAGGAGTCACAAGTACAATCCTTCCCTGCACTCAACTCCTCCCAACTTCTATGCCTAACAGCAACACTTCTTTCCTACAGAGGGTTAAAGTGCTCCTGCCTTCCCAAGCTGGGAAGCAGCAGTCCCAGCCCCAGGGGCAGATCAAAATGAGAACCCATCAGACTAAATACAAACAAGACACCATGCCTGAGAACAGGCCTAGAAAAACTCACAAATATTAACCACACTGAACTGAATTGATAGAGTTTGGCATTTAATAATATACACAAAGTATAGAGTTAAGCAGCATGAAATCCAGACATAAAGACACCCAACCAGTAAGTTAAAAAAAACACATTTAAAAATAAGTTATAATCACATAGAAGTTAAAAGAGTGCCATCAAAACAGTTTTAAGACTACTGGTACTGAATTTAAACAAATATACTAACCTTCATCAATATGTACAGTGCTTGAAAGCAAGCACAGCTGATCCCATCAAAATACAAAAGCCTGAAGTTATCATACTATAAAAGCCTATTTAGTTCCATTGGTATATTAGGAAGCTATATAAAAATTTGATAAACGGGCTAACAATGCACATGAAAGGACAAGTATGAAAGCATCAGCACTCTGAATTGAAATGCCTATCATTATAAATTATAAGGCAAACTCAGAAGTACAAAAGATAAATTTAAAATTCTTGTTCATTGACAAGCCACAATAAGTATAGACTGGTTTCAATGGAGAAGATAGGCCTGAAGTTAAATTAAGAGATATTGGAATGGTCTTGAAACAGATGGTCTTGGTAGTTAAAACAGATTCTGGTACATATTCCAACACATTTCTAACAAAACCAAGTCTTCTTAGAAGAAGAAGAACTGTACTTCCCTTACAGAAGAACTGTAAGGGAAACAATCATGGAATATCTGCTGCCTTTGAGAATTCTCCTCTTCAGTGTGAGCACATTACATCCTTGTTCCAAAATCTGGAATGCCTTCTCCACATTCATTTTGCAGTTCAAAAAGTTCTTAGCATGCAGAAAGACTCAAGGGTTCACGTTCCTATTGAAGCTATGCTGTGTGCAGAAGAAATGAACACACAGGCCAGCAGAAGAGCAGCCTGAACACACTTCTTTCAAATAACCAACAATTACTTCATATCCAAGAGTTCTGACAAAACAGGGATTGAATTCAGGGGGCAGAAGAAGCCATAGAGCAGCACAATCTCAGCTGGTAACAGTGGCAGTAAGAGTCACTGCAGTGACAGGTAAGTGTCAGCCTTGACAAGCTAATGCTTATTATTCCATAAACTCACACAGTTTACATTAACATTTTCCTTTCTTAAGAGTACATTGCTGTTTAGACATTAAGAACTGCACTGGTTGTAAAATTCTCATCTTCCAGACCACTGGCTTTAGCCTGGGACTGCTGCTCAAGCCTCTCCACCATCTCTTTCAACTGCCCTTCACCTTGGAAAAAATGCACATACAAGTCTCTTTCCATCTGAAGCAGCCTATTGGACTCTAAAAAGCTTCTCTTCGACTTCAGATCAGCAACCAGATCCTTAAGGAGATTATTTAGTTCATCTAAATCCACTTCCAGTTGGTGAAACTGCTCAGTAAGTTCCTAACAAAAAATAAAAGACAAAATATTATTACTTTTCTGTTGTTAATATACCAGCTGAAGTAGAAATATGAAAGGTTTTTGCTTTGGGAAGCCATTTGTTTGTAATCAAAGAATAATTAAAAAAAAACAGAAACAAAGACAAAAAGGGATTCCATTCAATGTATATCATTTTTGAGCTCCATGTAACAGAACTCATATTGTATTATGCAAATGTAATTTCATTTAGTTGTTGACCAAATGAGTTAAGACCACAAGAATCTGAACCTGACCTAGAGACAGAGTGAATTACATTTTCTATCAATTACAAGTCTTCATTGCTAGTCAAATCTTAAAAGGGAACAAACAGAAAAAAGCACAACAGAAAGCCAAATCAATTTTGCAATTAAATCATTAAATACCAGCTACAACTTTCCCAGCTGGCATTCCTGTAATAGTTCAGTATAAGCAGAGTAATCATCTACTTGCACATTATTCCCTTATTAAAGGAATTACTTTCCTTGAGAAACAGTAGCAGTAGAACAAGATGTCATATTTTAAGAAGTAACTTAAATCAATAGGAAGGTATTTTATTTAATAATGTGCAATCCCTAAATACATACTGTTCCAATTACAGTCTCATTTTTAAATAAAAACTGTTCTATATGCTGTAAATTCATTTGACAGATGAATGTTAAATATATTTGTATATAATTAACCAAGAAAGTATTATGTAACAGAAGATTTCCCTTGATGCATTTTTGAGGTATCTACAAGGACTTAAAAACCATAACAAGGTGCATTTAACAAATCCTGCTCCTATTTAAAAGATGTTCTAAGCATAATACCTGAGAGCTGTGTAGGAGGATTGTCCTACTACAGCTGTCCTTCAAAATTCTGGTATTTCTATTTTGTCCAAATGACCCAGCCATGGCCAGGCTTTTAAGGGGCCAAACCATACTACTGGGGTCTTACAGGTAACAGGGCAGAGAGCCCATATGAAACAAAGAGCAACTTAAATGAGTTTTCCAGTGACACCCTACCCAGAAAAAGGATCCCCCACACCACAGACTTACAGGAATACAGGACTGCACATGCCTTTGAAAGAAATTCAGATAGATCCAACTGTTTGCTCAGAAACCAAAAAATTATTACCTGCCAGCATTTATAAAAACCCAACATTAGCCAAGAACAATGTAAATGTTCAGCATCCATCATCATTATGTTACTACATTTGTTGCTAATAAGTGGGGACAGTTTTAATGTCTAGAGCCTTCACACTATCCTTTTATCAGTAAAAGAACATGACAAACAATGCAGTCATTTGAAAGCACTCATTAAGGGCTCACTGGACTGCGGAGCTGGATCCGATTTGTTCCACAATAGAGAGCACCACGAAGGGCATCCACCTGCCCCTCTAGGCTGGACAAGAGGAGACACTGCTCCTGAGCAGATGCTGCCAGCTCATCTTCCACTGAGGCACAGTCCTGCTTTAACTTCTGAGCCATCTGCTCCAGGCTCTTGTATGTCTTAAACAATTGTTGTTTTTTACTTCCTCCTTCCAGGAGCTGATACAGCCTGTAACAAGTGAAGTTAGAAGTTAGGAAAGTTAAAATATTTGTGTGTCTATCATCATTAGTTAAGAGAACATGTCTGTGTTGAGAAGTCAGAGGATGAGTAAGGTAAGTTCTGCTGAGGGCACTTTTACAACACTACTTTGTCTCCCATGGATTTCAGGATTCCATCTATACATAGCAGTGATTAATAGGAATCCAAATATTTCAATATGAAATTAGCAGCAATGAAATATTAAAGTAACAGTTAGTAAGTACATCATGAATGCAAATAGAAGTTGACAGTGTGCTTTTGCCAACTATTTCCTGACACTTCAAGAGCAAAATAAGATGTTTTTTTTTTAAGTGCTGAATGAAAGCAGACTTCAACAGCCAATGAGAAATAAGAACCATCTTTGTAACATTTTCAAGCTTACTGAAGTATTTCCTGTTTTCTGTCTCTCTATGAAGAGACTGCTAAGAAATTCTCTAATTAGTTACAAGTCATGCAAAAGACAGCATTGCACACTACAGCAAAGTGCACCCTTAACTGTATCAGGAATGGGCTCAGTAAGATTACAGACCACTCGACATAGTCCAAATGTTACTACCACCAAATGTTACTACCACCAAATGTTACTACCACTAATGCATAACAAAATCTCCAGGAGCTAATCCCTGATATAAAATCAGACTGGCTTTATTAAGAGGAGCTATATTTCAGAAGTAACTGAATGTCTTTCAAGTGTCTTCTGTTTACAAAGCCTATAAGGTTTTTAAATCTTTCAACTTAACTGCTCTTTATCTAAAAAAAAAAAAAAAAAAGTAGCCAGAAATATTCAGTGATTTGGAGACTTTATAATAAAGCTGAACAAAAATGTAACAAGCTGACACAAACACACAATAGGAGTAAAATTAATGCTGCCTAATTCTTGCAGTTACTCACTGTGCCTAACAATATTCAGCTATCACTTATCAATTATTGAAAAAAAACAAACACACTTAAAGCATCATTCTAAAGAAGGAGGAAAAGTCTGACAGTAACACACCTATAATTATACAATATATCACATCAAAAGGTTTAGTCTTGATAGAGGAGCAGCACAGCACACATCCTTAACTGTATCACCTGAACTTTAAGGAGACTTAATGATTTTGATGGTGAAAAACCAGACTCCTACATGGGTACCAGGACACTCAAAGCAGATGGCAAATCAAGCAAAAACGAGCTGAACACGTCACAGTCCGAAGGAGTCATTCCTCTCTCCTACCACACGGGGGGTTCTTGCCGGCCGTGCACACAGCCTGGGAAATCACTGCTGTTAACATCTACACCTCTAGAGTATCAGGAGGTGCTAGATAAGACAGGCTTGGGGTTAAACATTCTTCATGTTATGGATATTAATTAGGAATCCTTCAGCAATATTAAAAAGACTGATAATTGAAAGGTTTTTCCTCAGGCAAACCTGCAAAGAATTTCAAAGGACATGCAAGAAACAAGTTTCACATGTTGAAAGCTTCAGTTCTTGAAAAATTCTAAATTCTAATTAGCTACAGCAAGTAAGTAAGAACTTGGCAGCAGGCAAGGCTCCCCTTGCCTGAGCCTTCATGTCCCCAGCATTATTTCAAAGAAAGCCCAACAGTGACTCTAACACTTACCTGCAAGCTAGACCATCCTCTGGGCCAATAGTGCTCCTTGGCTTTGCCTGCTCACTTTGCTCAGCTATCGCCTGTAGTCTCTGCTCTAACTCATCAGTGCTTTGTTTCAGAGATTCTACCAAATTCTCCAGCTGGCAGCTGAACTCCTGGTGTTTCTTCATCTCCAGTTCACAAGCCAGCTGAATAAGTTCAAATGATGTTTTCTGTCTTATCAAATGCCTGCCTATTTTATCTTGAATTGCAGCATAACAGTCCTGCCGAGCAATTTGGTGATCCAAGTATTCTTTCACCACTGGTGCAGTCAAAAGTTGTGCTTTCTTCTTAAGAAGGGGAAGCAGCTCTTCATTATTTATTTGAGCTATATCTTCTTTAATTGCTGAAATTTCAGCACTTAAACTAGATATTTTAGCATCAAAGTTTTCCTGTTGTCCAATATCCTGCATAAAACAAAATATTTGTGAATTTCTTCATGGTTCCTGCCAAGCCACATCCCAAACATTTCTTCAGTTCATATAAGATTCATGTATTTATGTTACATTTAGCTACAAAATTAAATGATAACTCCACAGTAGCTTTACAGAATTTTACAAAATAATGCAAATACAGATGAACAAAGTAGATAACAAATATATTTCAGTATAAAGTAATTTCATTCTATCACAGGGTCAGGAAACAGTTTATTGTGTTAAAAATAAAAGACCTGCATTTTACCTAGCACCTGCTTCAAGCATGCCTAACTGAAATCTCACAAGCAAACATAATTTTTTATACTCAGTCAGATATCAACACTGCTGGCAGAATCAATCTTTTCCAAATTACCCTAATCAATCAAGTCCTATATACTAGTCATCCATAAATGAAAATATACAAACTGACATGATGCCTCAAGTTATTCCATGTCTGGCATAAGCAAATACCTTTCCTTTCATTATGATTTCTTCACAAATTCCACTAACCACATCTGCCTGTCACTCACTTGTTGAAAGACTTCTGGGGCTTTAACTCTCAGATTCATTTATTTGGTACAAATACTTGAGTTGTCAGAGTGAATGAACTAAAACTTTTTAAGCTTATGCTGTGCAATATAAACAGGAATGCATTTATCACATTGGCTCCCTGATACCACAAAACTGCAACCAAAGCTAAGATTCTGTTTACTGTACAAAGAGCCAGGTCTAATTTGAAAATTGAAAGTTAAACTAAACTAGAAAGATACATAATAAATATATATACTATAAATTCTAGGATTTTAAAAGTAGTAATGCCGAAAAAATAGAATTAAAGGTACTCTACCAAACTGAAGAACTTCTAACTATGGAAATTGAAGATATTTCACAAGAGCAGTTTTGTGAGCAAGACTAAAGCTTCATCAAAGTGCAATTTCACTACATAAAAACAACTGAAATAACAGTCACTCAGCAATTCCTTTCACTAGGTCCAGTGGAACTTGCCTGTCTGTTTAGAACTCCAGCACCTTCCATCACCTTTTTACCTTACCTTGTCCAAGGAGTGCAGCAGGCTCTCTGCACACTTGATAGCTGAATTGATGCCTTCCTCTTCAGCCTGCAGCTGAATTAGCTGGTTCTGACCACAGATATACGATGCCTGGAGCCTGGCTATCTCTTGCCTCTCTTCACACATTTCATTAGCCTCATCAAAAGGGACTTGCTTGATTAAATCTTCAAGCTGAAAGATGTCTTCATGTGACTTTTCAGCACATTTAGGCATACCTTCATAAAAAAGCTTTTTTAAGTGTGATGTAAGTGCTGCAGTGTTTTGTTCTTCCACAGACAAATATCTGTCCAAAGAAATTTGTGAAAAAAACAGTGGATGTGCATCTGACCCTTGTTGTGAATCTGAAGCAGTGAAGAAAGAGGCAAATTCCTTCACTGCAGCTATAAGAGACTGCAGTTCATTGTCAATCTTATTATTTGCTGCAGTAAACACTTCCAGTCCTTCCTTCCTTTCCTTCCGTGCTTCTTCCTCTCTGCTCTGGAACGTTTGTAACAAGTGGCTGTTTGTAGCAACCAACAGCTGGAGCTTATTATGCCGATAAATTTGAAGGTTTTTTAACTTCTGAAGAGTCTGAAGTTCATCCTCCAATTTCTTCACTTCTTCCTCATCTTCCTCTTGGCTACTGCTTGTTGAACCTGTGGGCTCCAAGGTTTTAAGGACATCATCCAGTGCATTTCCTTCCAAAACAGCCTTACCATGCTGGAGGAGATTATCAAAATCTTGCAGTTCTTCTTCAGGTACCACGTGCTGCCCATTTATGTTTCCACAAAACCATTCCAAAAATGATTTGTCTTCTGAAGACTCAAACATCCAGTCAAAATCTTCTCCATTAAGCTCATCAGCCTTTGGATATCCAATTTTTTTAAGAGTTTCCACAAAATCCTTTCCACAGCTCATGATGGAAATATTTTTGTAAGCAGAAAAGATCCAAATGAAAAAATGAAAAAATCTGAGGTATTATTCCAGCTTTAATTTTTTTGCCATTTAAAATGGATATTCAGTATTTTAATAAAATGAGTCTGTACAGGAAAAAGGAAGTGTCAGATCACAAAAAAAAAACCAAAAATCAAACAAAAAAAACCCTGAAGGCTGTTTTGGACTAAAGTGGCTATTCAAAGACTTGACATCAATTTTAATTTCAGATATCTTAATATATTTTGTTGGTTAAATCAGGACATATTTTTGTATCAATTACATCCCAGATCATTGCAAGTACCTATGTTTTTCCTTAATTCACATAAACTTATTATGGAAACAGTATAGTATCATTAATTTAAAAGCAACAGGTGTTAATACTGAGCAATTCATTGGCCTGCAAAAGTGATTTTACTTACATGGTTTTCTGCATATTCATTTAAAAAACCACCCACAATTATTTTAAATCTTCCAAAATGATCAGGGTTTTCAGTTTGTTCTAAAAACAAAATTACAGTGATGTTGCACAGCATTTCAAAATCTTGGCTATAAGGGTTTTTTTACCCCAACAGCAAGCAGAATCTTGTCTTCTAAACCTTTTCCTCTGAAAATGGAACAAGAAATGCTTTAACATATAATGCCTCAACATAAAACTGCAGATTTTTTTATCAATTATAAAAAATTTAAATTAAAATAAATGTAAAAATACCCTTGTGAAATGGTCACAACTTACATGAAAAGGGAGTTTGCTGCTTTTCTGTTTCTTAGCAGACAAATAATCAGCTTTGGGATCCTAAAGTGTGTGCAATAGACAGCAAAGAATATAGGATAAGTTATCAACAGTCAGGAGGCCTTGCCTGCAATACTCTAGTACACTAAGGGACTTTTTTTAGTTTGATACTACCTAATACTTTGTTCCTAAAACATACATTCCCCCTGAGAAGCCCACTCTGCCAGCCTGGAGAGCTGAACAAGTAAAGCCATTCCTCTAAAGCTCCCCATGTGTCTGACTTAGCTCAGACACTGCAGATGCCACAGAACGTTGTGCGAGTCCCGTGTCACAGGGCAGCGCCCCAAACGTCCTCAGCCCAACGTGCTTAAAACGGCTGCCCTCAAAATACATAAATATGGGAGCCAAGAGGACGCTGCCACACTCTTTCCAGTGGAGCCCACTGACAAGGAGTAATGGCTATAAACTAAAACACAAGGAGTTTGACTTTAGCACGAGTTCGAACTTTACGCTGAGGGTGGCACTGCACTGGAACAGGCTGCCCGGAGAGGTCGTGAAATCCCCCTCTGGAGACATTCCAAAACAACGTGGACGCGTTCCGGGGTAACCCGCTCCAGGTGACCCTGCAGCAAGGCTGGACTGGATGGTCTCCAAAGGTCCCTTCCAACCTTACTGATTCTGTGATTCTGTGAAATAATGGGCCCCCACACAGCCCTGTGCGCGGCACGCTGGGCCACCGCGGCACTGCCACTGCCATCAAACACCACAAACAACAGCTCGGAACCCTGAGGGAGCCCCCGCGATGCCCGGCCCCGCGCGGGCCGCACAAGTGGAGCCCTCAGGGACCACGTTCCGCCCCGCGGCAGCTGCAGCCTCCGGCCACACAGGGACCCCGGCCGGGAGGAGAGGTCGGAGGGGAGCGGGGGCGCGGTAGCGGCGGCTGATCCCGCCCCGCCGGCAGCGAGTCCCGAGCCCGCAGCACCGCTCCATACTCACCCCAGAGCTCTGCTCCGCCGCAGCGGCGGCTCGAGGGGAGGGGAGTGAGGCGGGAAATGGCGGGAAGGCTAAAGGGAGCCTCAGGGAGGGCTGAGGGAAAGAAGCGGAAAGGCGGAGAGGAGGCTACGGGAGGATTGGAAAGAAGCTCAGAGAGGGTGAGGGGCGGCGGCGGGAAGGCTGAAGGGAGGCTGAGGGGAGGTTCAGGGAAGGCTGAGGGGAGGTTCAGGGAAGCGCCCGCAGCTCGAACCGCCCGCCGCGCGCGCGGCGTCCCCGCCCCTCTCCCTCCACCGCGCTTGCGCGCGCGCCCGCTCCGCCCACGGGGCCTCCCACGCACGCGCGCAGCTTTCCGCCTCGCGCGCGGCCCGCTGACCGGTGACGTCATGTGGGCGGGGCTCCAACGGCCGGGCCGCCCTTCCCCTCAGGACGCTCGGCTGGGGCGGGATGGCTCGGTCCGGTCCCTCAGCCGCCCTCGGGCCTTCAGCCGCCCTCGGGCCCGTCCCTTCCGCTCTCCGCGGCCCTTGCTCGCTGTTTTCCCTTCCCAGCACACGGGAAGGGAAGGATGGGGCAGACCTGAGCGCAATTGATGTCGTCCAGCCTTGACCGCTGTGCCCTTCAGCTTCCTTTGAAGCCCAGACATGGCTAGCGGCAGGCGCTTCAATATCCGTACCCAGCGTTGCTGGTTTTCATCCCTGCTTAGTCTTTTCAGTCATTCATGGGCTCAAGGTCCCTGGATTTGCCTGGTGCCTTTTTGAACATGCTCATACATAACTTCACAAGGCAACATCCCAGAACATCATTAAGTGCTCCTTGAAAAGGCTCTTTCCTAATTGTTTTATAGCTCTCTCTAAAACCCATCAAATGATCCTGGTACTTGCATTTCAGGATTTGGTCACTGCCACTTCTGCATGTACCTTACCCGTGATATTCATGGCAATTTACAAACCCCCAGAGCATTTCCCTTTAGCTTTTTCCTCTCCAGTTTGGAGAGTCCCAAACTGTGGCCTCTGTAGAGGCAGTGCTTCATTTCCTGCATTGTTCCAGTGCTCCATTCCCTGCATTGTTCCAGTGCTCCATTCCCCGCATTGTCCCCAGCAGCTTCATCTGAACCTTTCACAGCATCGCTGTGCCTCGCTCAGGATGCTGAGACCAGAGTCCTCAGGGCATGGGTGTATCAAGGTTTCCTATGGAATCCTCATTTCCAGTGCTTTCCTTACAAAGCTCCCTGGTTTTTTCCTGGCTTTTTGGCTGCTGCTGCCCATGAAGTTACCAGAACGCTCTGGCCACAGATTGCAGCACCTCTGCATTGCAAAGGCTGGCTCTCAAACGAGCGTCATGTAAACTTGTCACTAATGCTCTGAGCATCCTTTATCAGCCACTCCTCAAGTTTAGCTGTCTTCACTTCCTCTTTACATTTCTCATGCCACGTTTTTCTGGGCTTCCCCATGTGCCTTGCAACAGCCTCCCTAAAGTTCTCATTGAGTCACACAAGGGGGGAGGAGGTTTACGCCATGTTTTTTTATTTATGTCAGACATTTTACCTTGGCTTCTAGAACTGTATTTTTAAGCCTTATAGATGTTTGCAGGCTCCTTGGTTTGGAGCTGCTCATTTAGGGTTTTTTTGGCATTTTCCCCCATTTTTGCATAAGTCATTTTCTTAAAATTGAGTATCTATTTGCTTTATTTGTCTTGCATTCATCTTAGTGTTAAGTTTAATTATATTGTGGTTGCTACTATTGAGCAGCTCACCCACTAATAGCTCTTGAATTAGATCCTCTGCACTGCTGAAGACTAAATTCAGAATGGCATTTCTTTTTGTTGTGGTTCATAGGGCCAGTTATTCTAAAAAGAAATAATTTATTGTATCCAGAAATGTTATCTCTACATTTCACCCTGCTGAAGCATTGACCCAGCCCATATGTAGGTGGTTGAGCCCTCCCACTACTTGTCCTAAATGTCCAGCTTCTCTAATCTCACTTAATGCAATTGTTGAAATGAACCAACACAGGGAAATGAGCAATCTTGCAGTTTAGCACAGCTAAGGCAAGCTCACGTTAGGCTTTTTTGATCAAATTCAGCACCTGTATCACTTGCAAAGTGCAGAATGTTGGTTTCTGGTATAATGTGGTCTGTGCAAGACCTTTTTAGACTAAACCCTGACCTGGCAGTGAGTTCTCATGGGCAAAAAGAGCTGTAGTGTTGAATTCCTCCCCATCAGATTACAGTCTGATCTGCAGCTGCAACTTAGGCTGGCTGAATTTTTAAATCATCTTGCAGATAGAGTGCATTGTGTCTGTCCAACAGGGAAGGAACAAAAGCATTCACCAGCTTATTTCATAATGCCCTGCTGTTTCAGTTCAGTCAGTTACTTGCACCAAAATGAACTTCTCCTACAGTGGTATTTTGCAGACTTGTGCTTCACAGTGTTGTGGTTTGGGGTTTTGGTTTGGTTTTTTTTATAAATATCAGTGTAACTCATGTAAAAAAATGCCTGCACAAAAGCAAATTTTAAACACCTAGAAAAATTCCTAAAATCCTGCTGTCCAAAGGCAGCTCTGCCAATGAAGTCCACAAATACATCTGATTAAAGTTTGTCTGTCTTTTGTCTGTCAAATTGTCTGCCTGGATTGCTGCAACTGATGCCTTCAGTTCCCTGTGTGGCTGCTTCCTCTCCCTCTGTCCAGACTCACACAGCTACGATGTCCCCCCTCCTTTGTGGCCTTTCCCAAACCTATGTCCCCATCTGTTCACCTGGGGAAGCAGCACTCCATCTCATTCTGGAGCAGGTTTGGAGCTACATCCGTGCTGGCCAGTGGCCACCTCTTGAAAACAGGGAAGAGCTCAATTTGGCCATGTTCAATACAGGAAATCATTTATTTTTCTTTCTACCCAGACATGGAATTTCCATGAAAGTTTTCATCATGGATTATTAATTGCAAGGCTCCATTCTATCTCTGCTTTGTCAAATTTGGTGAAAATTAGCCAGAAGGTTCAGAAGTTATCAAGAAAAGGAGGAAGGGAACAGATGGACGAAAGAGGAGTTGACAGACAGCATGATCTCATAATCCCCGCTGGCATAGGAATTCAGGCTAGAATTGAAATATTTCAGGTCAGAACACTGTGCACTTAAAATTCTCATTTTGAAAGAACAAGCCTCTGAAGAGAAACAAATTTTCATCTGTTAGACCATCCATCAGCTCTTAGGGCAGAGATTAAACAACAGCCTTCTACAAATATATCATCAAAATTTCTAACAACCCCTTTCCCCACCCAACCTCAGACCCGTGTCCTTCAGCATTTGCTTTTGCAGCTCCTTTTGGGTCAAGATTGTTTTCCTCTGATTCATCTTTTTTTTTTTTTGGTTGTGTTCAGTCAAAACATAATTAAGGCTTACCTTACCCTTTTTTCCATTCTAGGAGCAGTTGTTTTGCATCTGTTTCCTAGAACTGGAGAGGCTGCTTAGATAGCATATTGCCTTTACAAGCCATTTTATGGTGAATTCCAGCAGATTAAGGCATAAACATTTCTGGAAAGATGTCTGCAAGCTCTGCAGTATTCCATCCTTACCATGTTCTGTTTGTTCCACTGCAAAATATGACATCATTGTGCCTGACACCTCAGAGAGGAGCTCTCGGCTCCCCATCGTCTGAGGCTGTCACAGCAGCCAAGGAGTGCAGTGCCACCACACAGGCATTGCACTAAACCCTCCCACCGGGATACATCTGTCAGACGAAAAACTCAACCTCGTTTGCTTGTTACTGCTTTAGGGGATTGTTTTGGTTGTGGTTTGGTTTTGGGGGGAAAAAAAATCAACACAGAGGAGGCAAGGAATTAGGATTTTAGCTGGTGAACTGCAACTGTACAGCATTTTGATTTTGCATCACACTGCACATCTGCTCACAGCAGCAGGATTGCAAAGGTCCCTGCTGCAGATTGTTGGAACAACAATTATTCTTTGGAAACACCCTGTCCTAAAATGTAATTCATTGCTTTAAGCAAAATTGTATTCTTGATTAGGCACAACTTTAAAGTGCCACGTGAACTTTTATTATAACAAAGTCAGAAGACAAGAATTTGGCACCAGCTTGCTTTCTTTGCCAAGTGCATGGATCTTCTCTCCAGAGGAATGGTAGATTTCATTCTGAGACCTTGTATTCCCAGAAAAGCAGGTCAGAGTGATTAGTTTCCTTCAGCTTTGTTGGATTCAGTACTTTAAATACACAAGAAGCTCCTACACGTTCAGGCTACCACTCCTAATGTGTTTAAACATATAATGCACAAAGGGATATGTTCTTTTTCCTAGAAAATTGTTTGTTTACTCTCCTGAACCTGTTTTGAATGAAAACCCTGATTTTCATCCTGATAGACAAGGCAAGCCTCTGAATGTTAAGTATTAAATTTGAAACATCCATTATTAGCAAAATGAGGAAACTTATTTTTCTTTTAAACAAATGGTATGATATGACAAATATCATAAACAGACCTGTACAGATCATAAACTGTACAGGATTTACAAAAATAGTGCCACCACATTTATAATATTTTTTTTTTTACCCAGTGCAATTCTTGTGCTGAGAAAACTGGTGCTGTCACAAAGTACAGCACTGCTAAAATCTTATTACAGCTATTTTTTTCTGTTGGAGATTAATTTATAAAAAGTTATTAAGTGCTAGATTGTATTTTATATTTGTTTTGTGATAATGTTAATTGCAAAGAAAACTGTGATAAAAAAGTTAGTTTACTATGCTTTGCACATGAGCATCTTACTGATTCAGCAGCTCAGCTTATTCAAATCAAATATAAATGTATCAACTAGCTACTGGCCATGATTTCAATGTAAAACTACTATTTCTGTATTTTTAAGGTACCACTGTATTTAGTACCAACATGCATGACAAACTGAAACAAACCAGGAGATGTCACACACTGCAGCTGAGAGAAAACAATGTAATCTACAGAAGGGTTTCAGCTCCGTCCTTTCTCTCATCTCTCATCAGTTAAAATGCTTGTTTTTGTCTGGCTGCACATCACTTGTGATGTGACTTTCATATTTGATAAAATAAACATGCAGAACTTGTAGGCTGTCTCTTAATGCTTTTTTCCCTGTCTTGCACTGAGCTGAAATTATTTCAAGTATAATTACTTAGAACAGACACTAATGCATTTCAATTTGCACTTTGCAAACAGGTTAGTTTGTCTTCAGAAATGTAATAGTGGAAATGTATACAGCACCCATGGTTAGAGACAAATAAGATTAATGACTGTTGGGGTTTCAATGGGCCAGTGTGTGTAAAAGAAGTCTAAGTAGCACCCCAATCTTCATACCATGCTATTAATTTGAATTGCTAAAACTCAGTGAGCCCCTTATGAAATAGCTGATATGAAATAAGCTGACATGTAAAGATTTGCAGTATGTAAAGAACTGCGAAGAGAAGAAACACAATGCACAAAAAACAAGTGATGAAAGTTTAAAAAAAAACCTGAGTAACACAACAAAAAGGTATAAAAATTTGTATTTATATAATGACGAGATAATGATACAACACAATACTCCGTGTGCTACAGAACGTAGCAAGCGCCATGTACGTGTGTACAAATGAATCTGTATAGTACAGTCAAATGCATCTCACAGACTATGAACCATTCCTTTGGCTCTGGGACCCAGAGGCTCTGGCACAGAACCCCCCCACTAACACCTTTAGGTGACAATTGTACCACTAAGCAGCAGAAGGCTCTCACTCAGTGCTTCACCTGCACCAAAATTTCATCTTAAACATCCCTCCTGCACAGACCCTTCCAATGCCATACATCCTGTGGAACCACAGTTTATGCCTCTCGTGCAAAATGAAAGAAAGGAATTGTGAACTTGGGGCACCTTCACTCTGCTTTGCCAAGAGTCAGGCCTCTGGCTTGCCATGCCTCCCCAGGAATCCTTTCCTGGGCTTATTTACAATACTTCAGGCAGAGAGAACAGCCAAGGTGACCAAATGGTCTTTTCTGTTTCATATACCCCCTGAATTTTAATTCTGGGTAGCTACAGAACACACTTGGATGTTTTCTTTACAGCTACCAATTAACAACAGTGCATTTAGACAGTCACTTAAGCAAATTGGTTCATTTCATTGCTGGCAAAATTAATTTCTGATGTGTTTGCCCCGTTAGTATTTGTAGGGAGTACAGCTCTTCCTTAAAGGGTTCCTAAAGGGTCTCAATTATTCTTCCATCAATTTTGGAAAGTGTAAGTTAATGGATTAAATATCAGCACTGTTACTGGCTCATACCACACACAACCGATGGCCTCTACCATTTAAAAACAAATTTAACAGATTTATGAAAGAGTAATTTGTTTTGAAGACATTCCTTTATCAGCAGTATCATAAAATTAAATGTATAAAATTAATATTACTTAATTAAAAGCTGTGATGATGTGGTTCTTTTCAAAAATGCGTTTCTTTCCACATGGCTGATCCACAAGGATGAAAAATTTCACCACTAATTACCAGTCTGCCAAAAAGTTATAAAAATGGTGAAATAATCACTTGTTCAGGAGGAGAGATTGCTGTAAGTACCTCCAGGAAAAGCAGAAGTACCCACCCAGAGCAGGTTTGCAGGCAGAGCCCACACTTGTAACTTCACCTCTTTCTGTTGCCCAATTCTCCTCTTTTGGTATTTTAAGTTCACCCACTGAAATGGGTTATGCAAAGTGCACAGTCAGGTGCTCAGAAAACCAGTATTTGTCACTGTAACTTATTTGTAGACCAACAAGTAACTTTTTTCCTACGTCTATAATTATATGCATGTGGTATAGTTGAACCTATACTCATCCATGTCAAAAATATAACACCACCGAAGTCAGTCTTAATTCTGTAACTTAGAACAAGTTAGATGTGTTAGATTTTATGTCGTTTTTTTCAACTCCAAATCTTATACTAAGAAATTAGGATTGAAACTCATCTATAAACAGCACATGGAAAACTGTCATTCTCATGGATTTTTGGGAGGCTTTTTTATTTCTGTTTTAACCTGCTAAAACTCACTCTGAACCAAGTTTGTTCTTTGCAGAAGACAATACAGGATCCAGTCTCTGGTTAATAATGTGTTGCAGAGCTTCTACTGCCAAACCTGCTCTATTCAGAAGATAAATAAATCAGCTGCAATGGGCCTGGCACGGTACAAGCCGGGCAGAGAGAGGATGGATGCGAAGGAGGATTCATCCTCTGAATTGCAGCAGAGAATATGCAGAAAGAACTAACAATTTTAGGCTGGTTTTTTTTGTGCCTCCCTGTGGTGATGCCAGAGTGCAGGCAGGGCGCTGGGGAAGCACTAATCCAGGAGCAGTGCAGAGGCGTGCATCCTCTGACACCTGCGTGCTGCGAGGGAAAGCCCTTCCCTTCTTCTCCCCCAGGAAACGGGCCAAACCTCTGCGTCTCCAGAAAAAGAACTTTGCGATGACTTCATCTCTCCAGAGCCCCTTCCACAGAGAAAACGACCTAGCAGCCCTGTAATCTTGTCCCTACTCCTTTTCCAGTGTGGTAACTGCAGAGGAAATGGATGAACTGAGCAGCAGCACCTCCTCGCCTGCTAAAAGCGCGTCACGACAACACGACAGAGCTGCCAAGGTGGGGGCAGGATTTCATCTTGCAGCAAAGTTTGCTTTTTGCAGCCCCACCGTGGGCACAGGTACACTTGTGCACACGCACGGGGCACACACACAAGTGCCCAGCTGAGAAAAAATAATAAAAATAACGCTGCATCCCAGGTGCTGTGGCCACAGGCAGTGCTGCACTGGCTGCTCAGCAGCAGAACCTAAAGAATGTCAGAGCCCCGACTGTCCCCACTGACTGCAGCTCTGCTGGGGGGACAGGCCAGCCCAAACCTGGCCCTAGGATCTGCTGTGCCTCTGCTCTAACGGGGCTGCTGCTGTCCGGGGGCTGTGCCTGAAAATTCCACCTTAAATTGGGCTGTGCTCGAGGGAGAATGACACAGGCAGTATGGTGTCATTTTTCTTTACCAGCGTTAATAGCTCCCAGCTGTAACAACTGAAAAAGTAAAAACAAATAAACCCTTTTTATTTCCACTCAAGATTATTCGAGTAATTTTTATTGAAAATATAAGATCTACAAAGCCATGGATACCCAGCGTGGAAGAACTCATTAAGTTAGCACATTCATCTTTAAAAGGAAAATTTCAGGTTGACCTAAGGTACAATAATGTTCAATTTAAAGTCTCGTTTTTCCTTCTGTAAGTTTCAAATCTCTTTTCATTAGGAGGTTCTGTGCAAGAGCTGCTTGTCATGAAAGGAAACACTTTACAATCCATGAATGTGTTCATTATATAATAAATGAACAGCAACAATATACTAGCCTCTTTTTTTTTTTTTCCTGTTAACAGTCGTGTGTTAAAGTAAACTCTTATTTTTTTTTTCCATGATTTGGAAATTAGTTACATATGCACCAAAGGAGCTAGTAATTTCTGCTGCTTGTCAGCTACACACAATGAGTATATTGCTGTGTGCTTTCCCCAACAATGAGGATTTTAGTAATATGCAAGGTGTATAGAATGTAATACCAAAACCTGCATCACAGAAAAGGTTAATTGTTTTCTTATTCAGCTGCCAGAGTTGATAACCTTAGGCCCCTCCCCAGAGCCAAAGTAGGGGTGGCCATCCATTAGGTTATGTAAATTAAATGTATACGTTTCCTTGTTGGCAAGTTCCAAGCAGTAAGCGAGAGTGCAAACAAGGATCTGTAAGCTGCCACAAAATGTATTCATATTTCTACTCCGTGTTGTAAGAGCCAAAGGGAGGACACGTATGTCAGATGTTGAAAGAACAACTGAACCTTTGCTTTTGATCATTATGGTCAGTCTGTCATGAGGTCTTGTATCTGAATGCTAAAAATGGCACCACACTTGGACATCCCATAGCCTTACACAGTACGTTTGTGTTTCCCAAGCCACTGAGCGCTGGTCTCACAGAGACCCTGACTTTATAAGCTAACAAAAAATAGATTTGGGTGCTGAAGAATCCAAGGGAGGGCTCATACAAAGACAATTAACCCTCGCACCAAAACCTAATTTCATGATTTTACTTAAAGCCACACTGAATCAGTTGTGAGAGGGTGAAGATATAAATACACCTCTCTGCTTCATCCGTAAGAAGGTGGACAACTGACCATTTGAACAGAGGGTCTTGAAACAAAGCTTAGTTGTCCTTTAAACAATGAGAAGGAGAGGCATACATAAATGGTCACCAAGGCACAATATGACAAAGGTGAAGAGTCCCTGAGACTCTGGTCTGGGTCTGTACCATTCCCCTCCTTATACAAGTAAATGAGAACATTTAGGAAAATATAATACAAAATCTCTTACAGGAAATATAGACTACACTTGCTAAAATCACTTCCCTAAAAGTGTTTATAGCTTTTTTCTTTTTTTTTTTTTCAATTTTTTTCTTTTTTTTTCTTCTTTTTTTTTTCATTTTTTTAAAAGACCTTCTTTAAACAGATAATGCAAAGACTGGTCCATTTTTTTCTTACCCGGCAAGCCAAGCTCTAATGACTTCACTAAGCAGAAGTTGTATTAAAATACATCTTCATAGTATTGCTACAATTTGGGTAAATATGTTCTGAACAGCTTGATGAGTACTAAATAAACTTTGCTGTTTTACAGCATACATTTTAATTTTTTTGCACTTTTTTAAGAATAGAAAATGCAATTATAGTGTGCAAAAGAAAAAAAATTAATTATCTTCTAGCTGAATACTGTAATTTTAAGCCATGCCTTCCATAAGAATGTATTGACATGTGTAAATAGAAGAGAAGAAAAAAAATACAAGCAAACAGAGATTTCATTTCCTTGCAAGGAAAGATTAACTATCACAAACTGGATCACTTGAGTTCTGTATTCTTCAGAGAAAGAAATGAAAACAACAACCCATAAAACCACTGAAATGCTTCAAATGTCATCCATTCCACAGTAACAGGTTAAAACTGCCATGTTGCTTTCTACTGCTCCCGTTAACATGGATAGAATGATTTGCTGCTGGTTGGATATTGAATACAAAAAGCAAAAGAAAGTTGAGATCATCCCACATGAAGTCATTATTAGAGCTGGCTTTTCCCCCATTTTGAAGTACAGTAGTGACTTGTAAATATGACCTTTTCTAAAGATCATTTGAGATTTGAAGATTTATCTGCCTGCTTCACCCAAACAACAACTGCTGAAAGAATTTACTCTATGGAGCCCACTATACAGCATTCAAAATGTTTTGGGTTTGGGGTTTTTTTCATGAAAAAATACCACAAAAAGTAGTTTTAGGTTTTTGTATCTCTGAATCACTAACACATTGTAGATTTCATTTATTCTTCCATGTTTGAAAATGGTTTCTGCAAAATCAAAATAAACTGTCAAACTCCCTTACGCCATGCTTCCAACAGTTTGAATTTAATACTTCTTGAATGGAACGACATAATTTATTTCCTTTAATTTGCAGGATGGCTACATCAAGCTAGCTTTAAGTCACAACTGTACCTAACCACAGTTCTCTGCAGCAAACCCATGATTTACAATATCTAATATTGTGGTTACAGTGCAGGGAACCGTGGGTAAGAAACCTCCATGTCAGAGTATTGTGGTTGGGGTTTCCCGGAAGAGTGGCAGTTGACACCTCTGGAATATTCATATATAAGTGCTTCAGTCAGATGGTCCTGAGTTGAGCGGGTAACTCAGGCACTATGAGAGCCTGGCATTCAGTCTGCGGGAATGTGTGTAACCTCCGTCACTCGAACCGCTCTGCAAACTGTAGTGGTCTTCAGCATCACTGGCACTTCCAATACTGTCCATTTCACCTGGAGTAAACTCCATTCCTTCAATGTCTACTTCTAAAGAAAACATAAGAAGGCACATTTTCAGAAAGTTGTAGCGACTGGTCATGGGCCAGTGTCAATCAACATCTGAATCACACTTCAGTTGCAATAATTATAAAAAAACAAGAACTGGCACAGTAATTCCTGAGGAAAGGATCATCTTGTCCACCTGAGAATTAAAATCCCTTCTGTCCTCAGCCACATAAATATACTGCATGACATCAATACCTGTGGCATTCACATTCTCTGAACAGAGAGAGACATAATTGTCTCTCTCAGGTTTTTTCCTGGAGAAGCACAGAGGGAAAACAATTTTTATCTCTGCTTGCCGCTCCTAGTGTTTTGCACATGTAAAATGTGTTAAGAAAATTGTTTACCTAAAGAAATTTAGTAATTAGATTCTGGTAGAAATTGTTTAGGTTAATGAGCCTATCAGGTCCAAGCTGTGTGGACTCATGTCTGCAGACAGACATGAGTTTTTCAATTAGTAGTAAGTATAATATAGTATAGTATAGTATAGTATAGTATAGTATAGTATAGCATAGTATAGCATCTCTCTTTAATATAACTGTAATGTAATATAGTATAGTTTCAATAAACAATTGTTCAACCTTCTAAATCAATAGAATGGGATACCAATCATTCCTGTGATGCGGGCACCCTGAAACTTTGATAAATACCAGATGTTTTCCCAGAACTGTTCCAACCTGCACACAGACACTGATTTAGAAATAAGCTGGCCCTCAGAGGCGGTTGTACTGCAGAACTGTCCATGGTAATTCCAGCCATGCAGGTGTTGGCTGCCCATGGTGTGACCACCTGTCCCCAGGTTACTGCCCCAAGACCAACCACTCAACCCCCCTGGGCCCAGAAACAGCCAGCCTGGGCAACTGTTCTGCCAGAAGAACGTCCAAATGGGAAAATAAGAAATGGCAACAGCCAGCTTGACAAGCTGTCTTAAATGAGAACCAAATGCAGAGAACCCTTGGTGATCGTTGCACTGAAAATGTTTTAAAATTTCACAATAAATTATGTGGAAATAATTTTTTTCACACAAATTAATTAGGCTAAGTACGATTTTTTTTTTTCCCATGGGAAAATATTATGCCAGCTTTACCAATAATTACACTAAAAATTCAAAATATTAAATGGTAATTGTTAAAAAAACTGGCAAAAACACATGCAGGATAAATAGCTTTAAAAATACACACAATGTTAACAGCTTCAAAAGTGATTAGGAAAAAAAACCTTTTTCAAAGATTGTGAAAAAGACGCCTTAATTTTTTACTTTTCAAACTGCATTATGGAATAATTTTGTCTGGGTTTTGTTGAAAGCTTGATTTTAGTTCTAAATGACATTTCCTTGTTTCCCTCCTTCCCTTTTGCCCCGTGCTGCTGCAGGCCTGTGGGAAGGCCTGGCTGAGTTACCTTGTTCAGAGTCAGTGGATATTGTTGATCCCATGCTGTCAGTGCGGATTCGCTCCATGCCCTGCACGGAGAGCTGCTCCAGCCTGCGCTTGAGGTAGCGGTGCTCCCGCTGTAATTGTTCTTTAATATTTAGAGCTTTTCGGTCCTGTTCTTCCAATTTCTTAAAGGGAGAGAAACACAGTGAGCTGGCAGTTTGTACCCATGTAAAAGAATAAGTGACTTAAGGTCTTCTCGTAAACAGTAATTTGAAAGCAATTTAAGTATTTTAATTAATCAATATAAAGTTAGAGTTAAATCTAAAATTTTGATTTTTTTAGTTAGCATTCTGTAGAGGTCAGTACAATTTTAGCAGGCTGAATTTGTTTCACGGTAAGATAAATGGTTACAGGGGAAAAATAATAATAATTAAAAAAAAAATCCCTCAGAGACTCTCCTGCCACTAGCAGACATTTCCTTGCTAAGACCAAATTATTGTTGCCTTGGTTGTGGGGAGTATTTAAATCATTTTATCAGGCGAAACCAGCATCATCTTTGATAACTCAAGCACAGCTCAGGTTTCAGTGAGAACATAATGCATCTTTAGATGAGTCTCTTATTCCACCTATCACCATAAAGAAACCATCGTGGGCCTCTGAATGTTCTCCCTCCTACCGTAGGCTATGGAAAATTTTAGCATTTAAAATGCTTCATTAACAATAAGCAGCATTAATTATATATAGAAGGAGGAATTTACTAACAACTCTCTTTATTCTTGCTTTTTTTTTCCCTTGAACTTCTCCAGAGCGAGTATGATAATTCTGTGATATCATCTACAAAGTCGGTGGTATTAATTCAGAATTTCTCGGCAAACAGCCTGTGAAAGGATCCTTCACATATCTACCTAAAATCTCCCCTCTGACAGAAGAAAAGCAGGTATTAATTTTGCAAATAAAAAGAATGCTTCACACCCGATAAAATGTGCTGCACTGTTGGTCCAAATACAGTAACAGGAATAAAGTATCTTTTTGTATTTGAACTGAGCCCTTCTCCAAATCACTGCTAGCCATTAAAAAAAACTGACTGCATAATTAGGGAAAAATTTGTAAGAGTATGATGGGATTAAAAGCATGAAGGATACACAAATCAAAACACCTTTTATAATTAAAAAAATTATCTATCTGATGCAGTAAATTACAGGTTGTAGCAGTAAAAGCACTCATAAGAGTGAGCAGATTTCTCTGTGAGCTGTGTTTACAGGATCACTGAGATTTAGGAGATGTGCAGGGAGTGAATACAGCTGCTGAAGTCTCCTCCCTGCCATCTGAATGAACCTAGCCTTGGTTTTCTGAGGAGAGCAGGCTGGGACAGTGCACAGCAAAACACAAGCAAAACCCTTTCAGAGATCTTGCTGTTCCCATGCAAGCCTGAAATAGAAGTGTTTGAAAATAATTGACACCCTTGAATGGGGCAGTTTCCTGGCTCAATGAAATCTACCTTCTTCCACCACATTTTAAGCCCCCTCCCAGGCAATACACTCTGCAGATAATCATCATAGGTGGATACACAATGTTATAATAGGAAAAGGGGTTGGTACATCCATGTACACAACAAACCAAATGTGCCCAATTGATCAGACTTCCTTTTCCTGTATTTTCCTGGCTGCAGTCCTAAACTCTAACAACTACTTTAGGAAAGAACTCAGTGATTCATATCCAGGAGACTCAAAACCATGCAGTCTTTCAGAGCAGATCTCAATATATGGGGGGTGTGTGTGTGTGAAAAGTTGAGCACTAATGACTGTGCTCAAAATGCCAGCTGGGCACGGGCAAGCTCTGGCAGGGCAGGGGAGGGAGCTGACCTGACAAAGGGGAGCAATTAAATGCTAACCCAGTTTGGGCAGGTTCAGTTAAAATCTTAAAAAGAAAGTTAAACTTCAGTCTGGGTTTTCAAAAGACGAGTACTTGGTGCTGTGCAAGAGAGATCTGGAAAGAATCTGTTCCCAGCTTTTTTTATCAGCAGCTGAAATGGTAACTGCAGGGCTAATCTCGCACACTCGCCACTTGTAAAAACACTTCTTCAATTTGTATGCATAAGCCCATCATAGGGGGGCAGCCCAAGACAAAAACCACATGCAGTGCCTTTCATGCATGTTAGCCTGAATTATAAACAAGAGGCCAAAATCTCAAATGGTAAAAACAGGGGTTGCCCAGCTGGAGTAAATGTGCTTAGAAGTGCTGAAAAAGTAGCTCTGTAAACTTGTTCACAAGAATGGTTTTGCTTAGATTAATCTTTATTTCTTCATATGAATCACACCCACTTCTGTAACAGCACTGAATCTTAAAGCTGTGCATCAGCAGGATGTTCTCCAAAATATTCCAAGATTACTGGCAGTGTTCAATTTTGCCTGACACTTTTCTTGACCTGTTTCTCTGTAACACTGAAAAAATGCCAGATGAGTAATTACAGTCCTGGACACAGCAGCAGAAACCTGTTCTTTAACTTTTACATTTAAATACCTCTTTGTCTTATTTCTGCATATAACCCTGTTCCCTGAAAACAATGACAATGAAAATGGGAGGGAAGGTGTCTTTGGAGAGAGAAGGCCTGAGGAGTAATTTCCTTTGAATTACTTGTGCAAACGTAGAACCTGCACTGCTGCTGGATCATAGGTGAGATTTAAGGCTCTTTTTTGTTTTAAACTTGTAACAAGGGGAGCAGCAACTAACAGGAGATTGCATTTAATTTTTTGTTTCATTTAAATGAGAACCTGGTCAACAAAATGTTGATGGGATACGGCTCACTAATAGATAGGATATTTTTGATTCCATTTTTTTCATCATTAATGGACCTGGCTTTTTTACATTTTAGTAAATTCAGTACAATGCTACTTTGCTTGGTTCTTAAAAATAAATATATTAATTAAAGAACAGCTTTGATAGATTTTTTTTTAATTATAGTGTAAAATAAATTAAATTATAGTGTATTAAATACACTAGTTAGCAACTGAGAAATCACAAAACCACTGTTTTATATATCTGAGATGCTAAATTGCAAAACACTAAACTTTGACACTGTGACTGAAATCCCTGCAAGTAATAAAGGCCAATAAATCCAGAAGATTGGACATATGGATATGGATTTTGTGTGAAAATTTGTTTCCTCTCTATGGATACACATTCTGGAAGATTCTCCCTTGAAAGAAATAAAAACATGGATGAATGCTTTACCTTGATATGCATCTTAGCTCTTTTCAACAGACTTAGAGTGGTGTGTCTGGTGCTGTCCGGCCCGAGAGGCACAAGCTGTTTTAGCTGTTCCAAATATAGCCGGAGTTTAGCCCGCCTGCAATCATCAAAAACCAAGAGTTGTAGTGGAGTTGCACCCGACCAGAATCTCCTATATGCAAACACCATCTGTTTGCAGGATCTCTGCTCAGAGCTCGAGTCAACCGTGGCTTCCTTTCCCCTCCCTTTGGCAGGGTTTCAGACTGAAAGGTCACTTGAAATGCAGTAATGCTGCTTGGCACACTCACACAGGAGGCTCATACCTGTGTTTCAGAGCACTTTGCTCAGCCTGGTCAATCCCATCTTAACCAAAGGGGAGTATGCTCAGAGATCTGAGACATCCAGGCAATGCTGCACACAACCTGTGGCTGGGTAAGGCCAAAATCCTGGGATTTTGCCTCCAATGCAGGGATTTCTGCAGGCATAGACAGAGCTGTGGGCAGCTGCAGACCCTGATCCCCCTCTCCCCATTCCTATCCCTGCCTGCTGCAATAGAAACACTCCAGCTATGCAAGCCAAGGGCATCCATGCAGCTCCTCACAGCTCAGAGCTGTTTCCAGCCATGGTTTATCAATGTATTTTAACAGGGAGGTCCTGATGTCTCTTCTACTGACCCACAGTCCCCTCAGAAGGAGACAGTTCTTCCTCTCACTGCACTGTGTTTATTATAAACACACAAGAAGAAACACTTCCAGCCATATTCCTCAACAACAGGGTCCTGCTTTCTCTGTTACTCCCTTGCAAGTATCACTACTGCTGCTCTCAACAACCTCTCCTGTACTACTGCCATATCTATCAGTAAAAAGAGAATGAACAAAGTATATTTCTACAAATGTTTTCCAAACTAGAAAGCAGCTGGCGATACAACAGTCCAAGGAAGAGTTGCTTGACCAATCCAAAACAAGGCAGTGGCCAACCAAAGAACTGCATGGGAGTGTGTTTCTGCAGTTCCATCCTAAAGAAAATCTCTCCTGGTTTTAATTCACAGCCCTTAAACAGGAATCCACACGGTTCTGCAATGAGAAATGGACGTGGAAGTGCTTCCATGAATAACTGCTATCCTCCTTTCTGCCAGCCTGTTACAGGCTGAGCAAAGCCATGACCTGGAGCTGGCATTGCCCTCACAGCCATAAGAGGAAATGAAGCAGATCCCAAGAGTGAGGGGAATAATCATCTTTTTCAAATTTGCTCAATGCTGCATGAAGGAAACAAACACTGCAGGGAATTCAACACTTCTGGTCAAGAACGAACCTTCTTTTGAACAATGAGTTCAGAACCACAGTCCAGCATCAGTGTTTGAAATGGACAAACACTCTGGGGCACAAACACTCTTCAGCAGGGTTTAATATGCACCAAATGACAAATTAAATGTTTATAATTGGAATTATTAGTGCAATGTGAAAACAACCTGAGAATTAACATTGATAAAACCCAAAGCAAAACAGAATTAATACAGAACAGCAGTGACTACATACTCACATATGTAGTTCTGTCTGCCTATAAATCAGCAGTGTACTAGCTAAGAAACCACAAAGCATTTTCAAAAAATTTTACATTTTTTCTTCAAGCCACTTAGGGAAAAATGATTTTTGGTAAAAACCTGAGTCACAAGAGAAAACTGCCGACAGACTTTTTGTTTAGGTCTGGGGTTTGTTTTTAAATACAAGGTTCTAAACTTAAGCATCGAAATGCTTTTATTTAAACAACACCAACAAAGATTGGCTGAAGTATTCACAAAAAGAGCCCAATCGGATCCCCTGAGGCTGCTACCTTAACCTGGAATATCAATCTTTAAAATAGTGAAATTAGGGACCACTGATATTTATACAGAAAATCTTAATGAGGCAAATTTTTATTTCTGCATCTGTAATCTCTAACAACTACCTGGGCTAGTTGCATTTTAAATACAAAAACTTGTGTCAGGGACTAAATTCAAATAATCTTCTTGTTTTCTAAATGGCCTCTGAACATACCCACATGAGCCTGTTTCACTCAGCCCAACCTGGATGCAACAGTACCTAGACTGATGACAAGAAAGTGGGGACTGAAGATGAAGGAGCATATGTGAAGGAAGAGGAGAAGAATGGTACCAAATAGTAAATAGAGAGGTAAACACCTAGAAATAGAATGAGCAATATACTTGGAGCAGTTAGAAGTCTGATAAGGAATATACAGAACTGTTGATGTGAGATTTACTTAGTATTAATTCTGGAGAACATTAATGAAACCAGACTACATACTGAACTTGTCTGCCTCTTGCTATCTGAGGAAAGTCTGCTTACCACAGGGAGAAGAAAGCAAGGCTTTAGTGCACTTCCTTGCCATCAACTGGGAGTTCACAGAAATATCACCAAAGTTCAGGGGCATGGCCGTGTGCCTTTTTAAAGCACAAACTCTCCAATGTTACCTGCCAGCCCAGTAGAGCAGGACTTTACAGAAGTGCCAGGAAGAACATGGGACTGAATCTAAGAAGAGTATTTTTAAATGACCAGTGAGAAGAATTAAAAGGGCTGAATATTAACAAAACTGCTTTAAGGCTTTTCCAGTACTACCAGCTGATACTGATAGCAGTTAATGTGCTAAACACACTTGCTGGAAGACCTCCTCTAACTTCACTTTTTATCTTAAAAGGACTTTTTCTTTCCTCTAATTACTCAACACCTATGAATCCATTACAGATTTTAAAGCATAAGCTTTACATAGATCTTTACATAAATGCAGACATGTTTATGTGACTAATTCATTAATTATAATCAATAGCATAGATTGTGAAAGTACAAAAAGAAAACCAGCCCACCACAACTCCTCTAGTACTGGAGTAAATATCCTCACGTTTTTCATCTTAGAAAAAACTGTAAGAATGTAAGAAAACATTTCAGGCATGTTACATTAACAGATCACACTAGCAGGAACAAGGGACTCAAACTTCACAGCAGATAAGTTGTCTCGTACAGACTCTGCCAGCATTAATTTCTCTCTTTTTCTGCAGGGACCTGACAGCTTTTGCTTTTCCTCAGCTGCCTGTGACCACAGGAGGAGGGAAAGGCACTCACAGAGGTAATCACAGCCAGAGCTGCTTTGTGTTTTGCAGCTCACGCCTTAAATTCCACCTAAAAAAATAACAAAAAGAAAGGAAAAAAAAAAGAAAAGCAGCCTAATGTCAGAGCAACAGGGTAACAGTCTCTGTGCATGAAACATGGTTGAAGTTGGGTAATTACACTCTGCTCCAGCTTCCAACACCAGTGTGGATCTGCCTGGACACCAGAGCTGACAGAAAAGGGCAATTTCCTCACCTCAGGTGGATGCACAGAAATATCCCCCCCCATCACTGATACTGATTTCATCTGGGAAGGCAGGGATATAAAAATGCCATCCAAAATCCAAATCAAGCCTGCAGCTCTCTGTTTTGGGTGTAGCCCCACATATGGAGAGGTGCATGGGTGCCCAGGTCTGATTTACCACATTGTCCTTTGTGCCAGATGATAAAGGGGTTTCAGAAGTTCAAGACTCCAGTGTTTCCCCATAAGCAGGTTCACAGCAGGGTCCTCTGAGTCTGCTTTACAGCTCCTCTAGTGCTTGGTAAGCCCAGGCTGGTCAGCATTCCTGGGCAGGGGCCATGTGCAGCAGCTGTCTGGTGGCTCCTCACATTCACATAAAGGACAAAGCCACCTGCTGACAACTGACCCAAAGGCTACCAGCAGGAACTGCCCTAAACTGGATTTGAATCCATGTAAGCATGATGGGCAGTAGAGGCAGGGCTTTCAGAGCCCATGGCAGAACCCCGGAGCCCCACAGCATGGAGGGACAAAGCAGCAAAAAGGTGGTATTAAGACTTTTCCTACAGAACAAGGACATCCACCAGACCCTCACAGGAACACCACTCACTGACTCTAGTCCTTGCAGACTCCAGTTTGCTCAAGTGTTTGGCTGTGAAAAGGCAAGTTCACCACTTCTCAAAGAAAGGGTTGCCATACAAAGATCTATTAAGATCTTTGACCCTAATCAATTTCATAATTGTGTTAAGTGAGTCTATTAAATAATAGTCAATAAGCTTTGCTGCATATGTGAAATCCCAGATGGAAATCCAAGCAGTACACCAAGAAATGGAATACTAAGATGCAGAAAAAAAATAAGAAACAAGAAAGTCCATTGTTCACCCTGGATAATCTTCATTCCAAGGAAACTGCAACAACTCCAAGAAATTCCTACAACTACTTGACAGGCGGTTGCAATGGGAACAAAAAACTTCTCTGTAGGGCTAAATAATGCAACAAAAGGCAATGGCTGTGGATTCAGAGGTTCAGGATGGGCACAGGGAAACAAATTTTTTATTGGGGCAGTGGTGAACAACCAGGATAGGTTGCCCAGAAAGGCAGTCCTTGGAGGTTCTTAAAGATTTACCCAGACAGAGCCATAACCCTTCACAGACACACATCCGTGTCTATGAACGTGTAAATACAAAACTGCCTGTAACCCTTCAGCATCTGACTCACAAGATTGCTCCTATTCATGTACCAGGAAAACATCCCCAGCTGTGTGGCTTGAACCTGTGCCACTCTGACTGACAGACTGCTGGTAGGTTTGTGGAGTGACCTGATCCACTGCAGCCTTTCCACGGGGGCTCTCCAGGGCTTTGTCAGGTCCAGCACAGCAGAGAGAAATGGCCTGCAGCCATCAGACAGCAGATAGCTGTTCAAGCAGCAATTGCACAGTTTTTTGACAGCAGCAAAGGTGTGTTTCCTAAACCATTCAAGTATAAATCTACTGGCTTTATTTAGAGGCCACTGAGCTGCACAAAGCCAGCTGCAAAGGCAAGGTGCATATCCCAAATGAGCTGCTCAGTCCTCAGCATGGCATGCCTCAGCCAGGCCCTGGTGACATTGAACGGCCACAGACACTCATGATCCAGGGTGACATTACTGAGTTCCTGTGAAATGTGTGCCTGTCCATCCTGCCACCCCAGCTGGGCACTCCCTCCAGACAAGCTTCCAACAGCCCTCCACGTGTTTGTGGTGGGTAGCACGGGGTGGGCATTTCCTGGAAGCTGCATCCAAAGAT